CTCAAACACTTTACGTAATGATGAATCCTAACACTATTATCATGCTCATAGCAGTTGTCTGCCTTTTAAAACACAAATATTGCCTCCAAATTATTTTAGATATTCCCTGAACTTAAGCTTTCTACAACCCTGTAATTGCAGCACACAATGTTTGATGTTCTGACTTTGTGTTGCATTTTCTATATGAAAAGCACTTTATATATGAAATGTGATTGATTATCAATATCATTATCATCATCATTATTTTTGTTATTATCATTATTGCTATTATTATTATTATTATTATTATTATTATTTGAATTATTTGTATTAAATTATAATGTTTCTAAATAATATATAGTTTTGCTATTATTTATAGTATTGCTATTATTATTATTTTATTTTTCATTACCCATATTGTTGCTATTATTCATTTTATAGTCATTATCAGCGTTATTTTGATTATTATTACTATTATTATTATCATTATCATTATCATTATCATTATTATTATGACATTTTGATTGAAACGCACATGTTCAAAGAATCAAGATTTGGAGATTCTCAGATTTTTTTTTATTATTAATATACCAATAAAAATGTAAAATAGACACATACAAAGCAACAAGCACATAGGTACCCTCCTTTATCCATCCCCACCCTTCCCCCTCTCCCTCTGTAAGCTGACGCAGCGCCTTTAAACATTAGCAGCTTTCTTACTAATAGGATTTCCGAGGCTTAAATTGTCATCTGATGAAATAAGGAGCTTGATTGCCATGTTGCACCCTCTTAACCAATTTGTGCTCAATTAGGATAATGGGGAAACAAGTAACGAGGGGCAGCTTTAATTTATAATGTGATGAAATGATTATCAATTTCCAGAGTCAATGACTGATGGTGTTAGATGTATTTGAAGGAATCGAGAGGCGACTGAAAGACACAAAAACAAAGTCTAAGTAAGTATTTCTGGCAAAACAAAAGGGAGCGCGTTTACACGACAGTGTGAGGAAAGTGCGACTTATATTAAAACTCACTCGCCTCAGCATGACTTCTGGTAATGCGTAATGCTCCAAACGCCATTTAGTGATTAGGTCCGATTCATTTAGATTATTTACTCGATCGTACAGAAGGGAAGGCCTTGGCGGGGGGTCTTCACAACAACACAAGATGAATTAAAAAGCAAAACTAGTGAAAAAAGCACCACTTCACAGCACCACTCACCTCATCTCAAGTTTATGATCAGAAACTATTCACTAAACTATTGACATCAGGTTGGCGTATAAATAAATAAATCCAGAGTAAAGTAAACACACACACAGCAACATTCAACATATATACCAAAAAGAACACAAAATAAAGAAAAATACACAAATAATAAAATGAATACAAGACATGACAAAAAACTAACACAACAACAAAAACAAGACAATAACAAAAAGAAAAAGAAACGGTATAACAAAGCTTACATGTGCATAAACCCAACACAGGAAAACTACTTCATTCCTCATCAATGTGTTTCTTGTTGTCTCACATACATACATAATGTACGTGTATACATACATGTACGTGTATACATACATGTATGTGTACATACATGTATGTATATACATCTGCATATTATTGAATGTATTTACTAAGCATAGTTCTAGTAGCCGATGAAAGCATGAGAAGTGGGCCACGCTCGGTCATCGCTGTATGGTAATTAACCTACATCCAGGACAAGCCAAGACTGGTTTATTTGTAAAGCACAGTTCATGCACAAGGCACCTCAAAGTGCTAAACAAAGCAAGAAACAATCATACAAGACGTTAAAATCATTCCAGATTTTAGCTGCTTAAACCTGAAACGCTGCATCCCCAGCTCGTGTAAGAGGAGTTTCTGTAAATCTGAAGTCTGACCAGAGGCAAAAGTATAAACTCTTCTTCCAGGAGACTCAACATAGTTGAATTTAAGGCACTTAACTGACAGGCCTTCTGCTTTCTCAGAACATGAGGATGATGCAAAGTCTGACCAGATGGTTTTTAACAGTTAGTGTTTGTTGCTGATAAGACCAGCTTAGACTTAGTGCAGTTCTAGCAATCACAAAACAACACTTATCAAAATGGTAAAACATGACTCAAATTGAATCCATATCTTTATAGACCATTTAACATGAATTCTGCTGGGTATCTGCTGTTGACAACCTTATGATACAGTAATAACCTTATGGTACAGTAATAACCTTATGGTACAGTGATAAACTTATGATACAGTGATAAACTTATGACACAGTGACAACCTTATGATACAGTGATAACCTTATGATACAGTGATAAACTTATGATACAGTGATAAACTTATGATACAGTGATAAACTTATGATACAGTGACAACCTTATGATACAGTGATAACCTTATGATACAGTGATAAACTTATGATACAGTGATAAACTTATGATACAGTGATAAACTTATGATACAGTGATAAACTTATGATACAGTGATAAACTTATGATACAGTGATAACCTTATGATACAGTGATAAACTTATGATACAGCGAAATGTCTGAATTCGGTATATGTTTTCTTGAATAAAACAATTATAATGTTGCCAATAGTATTTATCTTTGTTGTTAGTTTGTGATGTTTTTTTTTTTTCAATTCATTTCATTTCATTTTCATCCCTTTATATCCATTACTGGGTCAGGGGAGTGGCAATCAGAGCTTCTACCTTCCTGCAGGTGCTGAGTCCACAGGAAGATCTTCTTTCAACGAAGATACGGCCTTGGTGTTTCGGGGGCTTCAGCCACAGTGGGGTTAAGTGTCTTGCCCAAGGTGAGGGTTATGCCAAAATACCATGATTTGAGATCAGTGAGGTCAGAGGGAATCTCAGGCCTCATTAAAGATGGACTGACTTCATGTCTGCAGCCACAGCAGCTGCAGCTTTAGGACTGTATTGTGTTGTGTTGTTTTATTTAAGTTAGATGTTTTTGTTTAACTACAAAATACTACTAATAATAATAATAATAATACATCTTATAACTTATACACAGTGGGGGTGGGTCCTGGTGGCCAGATTGACGTTAGCTGACATGCTTGCAATACCGCCCCGGGCCGATGGGGGTGGAGCCGGAATAAGAATTAGCCAATGCTAACAAATATCATCTTCTTACCTCTCGAAAACGTCTTTACAGGTTGGTCCAAAAGTTGGCTCTTGGCCCAAAGCTCCATTCCACATGTGTGTCAATGCTGAGGGGAGTGAAATTTTTTGGACCAGTCTAGATTAGACGCTGTGAATTTTTGAAGGCACTCGTTTAAATGAATGGGGCTCCTGCCGGCTGACACATGTGCAGATGCGTATTTTCACATTGTCCAGCCTCCGCGGCCATTTTGAATCACTCCATGAAAGCCCAATTTTTGGCCCATTAGTTAGAACGGCGGAGATAGGCGTGACTACGTCCGTTAACATATACAGTCTATGCTTATACAGCACTTTTTTGGACACTCAAAAACACTTTACAAAAAATGTAAAATGAACATTGAAGAGAGAAAAATGTAAGAAAGAAGTGGTTAAAATTCTGTAGTGAGTCAGAGTTTCTGATGGGTTGGGGGAGTGAGTTCGAGAGAATGGGGGCAGCTGCGGCTAAGGCTTGTCCCCCAACGTTCAGCAACAAAGGTTTTATTATTCAACCAACTAGAATTCATATGTTTGAGTCGGGATAAACTAAATTTGGAGTAATATCTTTCCAAAACATGTTTTAAGAATATTGCAAAACCTTGGGTTTTCATTCCATGAACATTGGTATTTAGATAACAGTTTTTAATCCTAAATCATGCGTTTGTAATTTTCCTTAGATTCAAGACACATGGATGGTAATGAGGGCATATTAATAGTTCTGAAGTGAATAATGGCCTTTATGTGTACATTTATTATAATTATCTAACCCAAATAATATGAGGAGGCATATAATCTGTCATATATTATGTAATAATCTGCAGCACTGGGAGCAAGTGAACAAGTGTGGTGTTATTGGTTGTCAAGACTTAAAACAATGCAAATAGAAATATATTTAAAATATATTTTTCGACAACAGTTGCTAAAATGATCATTCTGTACATCCCCAGTATAATAAAGTTCCGTACATGTAAAGCATCTACAGTGTACAACTATTCAACTTAAAACGCATCCTTGTGGCTCGACATTGTCTATAATGAAGGGATTAGTGAAAACTCACAGTACACGCCATTATCTTTCAGACAATAGCATTTTGAAAGAAAGTTTTGTCAAGGCATCATTAGCAATGGCCTCCCTCTGTGGTCTGAAAGCAGTGCACATTTGGAGCAATTACTTGACCAGAAAACAACTGTCAGTCATTCTTAAAGGGAAAGAATTCCAATTAATAAAGCTCTTAAAGGCATGGTTCTACTACCATTGCAGTGCGGCTTTGGAGTCCGCTGGAGTTAGCTGGAGTTTGGTCAAGAAAGACATTGTGAATTACACATGCTCGTCGCACAGGACCTCAACAGGAGCGTCAGTTCTTCACAGGGGATTTCAGGGACTTAGCAGTGAGCAACAAGTAGCTGCAGTGGATATACTCTAGTGTCATTTGTCTGCCAATAGCCTCTGGGACAAGATGACTGCACTGGGACCAAGAGAATGGTGAGTTTATTTGAACACAACACTGCTCATGCCTGATATCAAACGGTAGAATGGTGTGAAACGTGTTTTAGATTGGTCTAAGTTGGACTACAACATTTATAATGTATATACAAAACAGATGCTTAGAATCGGATGAATTATGTAACAATTTTAATTTCCCCTAACCTTGTTTGCAGACAAATATATATGTTTTTGGGGAAGACATCCATTTCGTCAAGAATACCTGCCAAAGTGCTTAATCTAAAGAAGAGGCATTGAAATAGAAGGACATTGGACTGGTTTACTTTGAGAAGCACTTCAGGATTTTCCTCAAACGGCTCGAATGCATTTAACAATGGACAGCCTGGGCATTGTGGAAGATAATTGCTTGGACAGTTATGACATGGCTAAAGGTGCCGGCTCCAGAGTTCACAGCATTGATGTCATTTTAGGATTCGCTAAGGACCAGGACCCTTTGCTCAATGTTGTAGGGGAAGATGGCAGTCAAAAAGCCAGTGTTGAAAACCGACAGGAAGAGCATAACAACCTGGACAAGCAGCACGCACAATATGGAAGCCTCACGGAACTGGGCTCCAACCCTCAGCACCCGTCCTACCATGGTAAGATATTAAAAGTAAGATGGAGAAATGTACATTTGGCAGAGACAGAATCACTCAGTGTGTGAAACATGTTAAAAAGGTTAAATATAGTCACTTTTGGATAAGATATATTATGTATACAACTTAAAAGTGACTATAGCAGTATGAGTTTTTTCAGTCCTAGTGCATGTCCTTAAAGTGACTTATTGTACAGTCTGACAGCGGTTATACACTTTACTTCATGATTTATCATCACAGCAGGGACCTATAGGGAGACAGGCCGGCATCTTATACTCATAAACGGTCACTAACTATTTTTCCTTGTTAACTTTGATGAGTCTCTCAAATTTGCTCCATGTTCGTTTTTCAAGAATGTCCTGAAGAAATGGATCTGTAGAGGAAGCTTGTTGTAGTCAAATAAATTACAAAGTGGACTATAATGAACTGCAAAAGCCATGTAAAGTCTGTCAGATTAAAAGAGGGACGAGCAGCTTTAACTGGTGGCATCTGTTACCGTGGGATTACAGCAAGAGAGGAATTTAGTGAAAGACATATTGTACAGTGGAAAAGCGGCTGAACCCCCAGTGTTCACAAGTATAAAGCAGTCATTAATCTGTGTTTATCTGGACAAGTGGGGTGACGGTTTCACTCTTAAAGACACCGTAATCAGACTGTGATCACCAGCTCCTGTATCTTTATATTCCACATAATCATCCCTGACTCAGCACAAGAAACGAGTTCTCAGACAATTAGGAAGCAACGAGACTGAATAGCTACTTGATTTGACTCAGAACTCAGCTAGCATATCCTGTATTGATTAAACACATTGTCTGGAACCCTCGGCCCTCCTCCAGCAGCAGGGATGGAGTTCGGACAACAAATACAGTCCCTGCAAAAAGTGATTACAAATAAGTAAAACATTCTCTCAATTTGGGCACATTTTAAATGCCTTAAAACAAGATATGCCAATGGGACAAGCTAAATTAACCTGTTTTAAAAAGACACAAGAAATGTCTCCCTTGGAATGAGAAAATGAAGCAACAGTTCTTGAAATAAGACTGTCTTTGCTAAAACTTGTTTTAAGACACTCAGAATGTATACTCAAATTAAGATAAAACCATTATGACCTCATTTTTTGTTATAATTTTTGCAGTGTACAACTTCTAATGTAAATACACACAAAGAAGACATTACTTTTGGAAAGGGCACCAGAAGAATACCAATTGTGTGGCACATTGGAGGCGAGGAGAGTGCACATTCTCCTCTGGTGTCATGCACTCTATCTAAGCTTAATGCTGAAGAAATATCAATCAATCAACCTTTATTTTTAGAAAGTAAAAAACGTAGAAATTAAATAAGTAATTAAAAACATGAAACATTATAATCACTGTGTATAATCAATGCTGTGTACTAAACCTCATAGAGTAGGAAATATTATTCATGTTGTGCTTGTCTCTAGACACCGGCATCTTCCATCGGGACAAATGCAACGCAGAAATGACCAGTCTACATACTGAGGGGGACACAGAGGAAGACTCTCCGGACCCGTGCAAAGAGGAACATCCTTCAAAGAAGAAGCACAGAAGAAACCGCACCACGTTCACCACATATCAACTGCACGAACTGGAGCGAGCCTTCGAGAAGTCGCACTACCCCGACGTCTACAGCCGCGAGGAGCTGGCCATGAAGGTCAACCTGCCAGAAGTCCGGGTTCAGGTCCGTCACCTCCAATGACTTCTAGACTTTTACATTTGTTTCAAAAATAACCTCAATATGCAGTACACCAACATCACCATGGTATCCTAACCTAGGTACAGGTTTTAGACTAACATCCTGTGCCATTCAAAGACATTATTTATTTTAAATGTTCTGATTATTGGGCCTTAGTATAATCCCCAAAATTCTGCATGTATTATAAATGAGTGAAGTAAACCTTGATTCTCACATTCATTTATAAATGCATGATATAGGCCAGTCCATTATTAGTAAAGCAAGAAATAACATTACAAGTCTTAAGTCTTAATTTAAGCTTGCTGACGTGTGATAAGTACATGTAATACAACTGAATGGGTTGTTATTATCATTATCATTTTTGTAACAATTATTATTGTTGTTTTTCGTCATTGTTATTATCAATAATGATATTAATAAATGTTGCTGATTTTGGACAGGTTTGGTTCCAAAATCGAAGAGCCAAATGGAGGCGCCAAGAGAAGATGGACACCAGCTCGATGAAGCTTCATGACTCCTCCATGCATTCATTCAACCGGCCGCCGATGCCTCCCACAGTGGCCCAAGTGACCAGCCCTCTGCCTCTGGACCCCTGGCTCACCTCTCCCATCTCCAGTGCCACACCCATGCACAGCATCCCAGGCTTCATGGGCTCTCATCAGAGCCTGCAGCCAGCGTACCCCAGCCACAACTTTCTGAACACTGCTCCTGCCATGGTCCAAAGCATGCAGGCCCTGGGCCCACCTCCATACCAGTGCCCCCCAAACTTCAATGACAAATACCCAATGGAAGACGACAGAAGCACCAGCATCGCAGCACTGCGAATGAAGGCCAAAGAACATATCCAGTCCATGGACAAGACCTGGCAACATATGTGACACATTGGGGACACTGCGGAGACACTGCTCCTGAGCCAGGAGGATTTACAACTGCTTTCATCCAGGGAAGCTGCTCTTTAACAACCTACTGTCTGAGGAAACATATGGTTGTTTTATGTTGTGAGCTTATTTCTATAAAAATGTACCAACAAGATGCAGCTATAACTAATCCACTGCATATGAAATAACACCATCCAGCAATATTACAAAACACATTACAAGCTAAATTTTGTATTTACACTGAGAAATAAGAGTTTACAAATAAAAATCTTTAACATACCTTAACTTTAGATTTCAAATGTTTCATTTTTAAATTATTGCAATTTAACTATTGATTGAAATACCAATACAAATAATAACTAATTATACCATGTACATTGTATAGTATGAATATATAATGCACATCTATCTATAATGCACAGAGCATCTGTCTGACAGGTCTTTCGGATACAATTTGCACTTGGCGCAGTGGTGTGGTGTAGACAGTGTACATTACACACAACATTTTTTGGGAGATTAATTTCCAGAAATGTTTTGTTTAAGCTCAATAACACAAATTTACGCCAATCGTCTTCAGCGTTGTTGACACGTACCTCAAACAGCTTTACATTGAAATAAGCCTTTACACCAGCAGTGAAACAAACATGTATAGTTAATATAATCTACAGTATATCATGACTCATCACCACAAAGACTTTTACCATCACTTTCAAATTTACATTGGTTCTCCCTCTGATACACAGACATTCTGCTACAAGCTTTGCTGGGTTTAAATTAAAAGACAGTTCAACATGTAATCAGCATAAGCTCCCACTACTTAGATACTTACTATATTTTAGAACATTTATTTTTGAATTCTCAAAAGGACAATGTTTGTGTGAAGCCAGGTCGCTGTATAGAAAGAGTCCTGGATTCAGGAGCTCAATACTGCTTTGGCGCCTAAAGACTTAATTGAGTAATCTTGTTTAACTTTGGATTTCATTTTCATGTCAATGTCAAATACAACCCTATTTTATTAAGAGAGCTGTGATCTGATGGGGGAGCTATCGGAAGTCACACAGTGCCATCTGCCTGAGGCTAATTTGAGCAGACAAGCGCACCTCTTAACACCTAATTAATGCTTTTAAAGCGATTAACCCTTGTTTCAGAGGCACAGACAGAGTGGCCTCAGGATCCCTGAAAATCCTGTGATGGATTCACAATGAGTTAATGCTTTGAAAGGTAAGAAAACAAGACTACACTTCAAAGATGACTATATTTATGTCCTTTGCATTATAAAAAAAAGAAAAGTTAAACAAAAGAGAATTAGAAAAATAACATATGTAAGTATGAGCAGGATGTACAGTCTCCTGCTGTGTGGTCTACTGTGGTTCCAATAGTTAAGTCATACACTTTATCCACTCGTCACTATGTGTCATCTGGTCTGTCGTTATCCACTGTTGTTATCGAAGCAACATCTACGTAACAAGAGGACTACACCATTGTTTTTGGTTTTTATTTCTCATGAATTTATTGAGGAGGATCAATTCCAATTGTCAATCAAATATGTTAAAAGTAATGCATTGGTTTCATAAGATTCTTCTTATGGCATTATTTATTCACTCCATACGCAGTGGTGAGAAACTGCCACAGCTGCACTGACAGAAGCAAGGAACCATCAGCACATACCAACTGGTTAGTGTCAGTGGTCACGCACACCAGACTAAATGTGGGTGAAGTGTCTTGTCCAAGGTTTGGCACTTCACAGCTGCAGCCGCATCACTATCACACCCATTGTCCTCAGGGGTCTCCCATCACTCTACTAACCAGGCTCCATCCTGCTTAACTTCTGAGTTTTGCTGGGTTCAAGCTTTCACACACAAGGAGACACAAAGGTGCTCTTTACAAATCTGTCTAGATTTGTTTCAGCACCAGTTATTTCAGACAATAAGCTATCTTCACTGTCCAGGAGTTCACTGGCTGTGCAAGAACGAGGATGTTCAGTCGTGTAGATGAGCTGTTTACTGATGTCAACATTACGGATCAAGTGGCTCTTGGTGCAGGGGTTACGGTACGGACGTGTCATGGACATTTATTTTACTGTTTTGCAACAACCTGCTCAGGGAGTACAGGTAAAAATTAGCACTGCTGCTAAAACCCGGTACAATGCAACTCTTCTCTTGGCAAATGTTTATGGTACACGGTCCCTGTAAAAAAAAAACATACCGTACATGGTTTGGGATGCTTTGGATCCAATTCCTGCGAATATCCAGGAACTTCACACAATCAATGAAGAGGAGAGAACCAACATTCCCCAGGCCTCAACAATCTGATCAACTCTGTGAACATTTACAAGTGGGTACGAACCTAAAACAAATCTTGATATGACGTACCTTAGAGGTGGATTATCTCAGAGGAACACATTTACAATTTTCTATCTTTTTTTGATAGAAAGAAGAGATTGTTTTTAATATTAATATTAGCCATTAAACATAAGAATTATGAACACATACATAAACACATTGAGGTAAATATGTCAGGAAAACAGTGACATGAGGGGCTTCCACATTGTAGCAACTCTCTTTTTGGCGGTTGTAAGCTCTGCCTAAAGAACCCTATATCGTAGCTTTAAGTTGAACCTAAGAAAAAATGGGAGCAAAAGTGTTGTGTGTATATATTTTGGTTTTGTGCAAAGATGTTTGATGCTTGTACAAAGCTTTGTACAAACACAGGGCAGGACAAAACAAAGAAACAGAAGGATAAGAACGAGCATAAAAAAGAATAGATGACATACTCTAATGGAATGGTACGGACACCAGCAGCAGACAAACACCATGTCTATCACCAAACAGCCACATCGACCACGGATAAAAGAGTAATGCATTTTTTTTTTCTTCAAACTTAGGTAGTTTATCTTTACTTTTCTTTGCTATCAGCTCCAAAGTAATGTTTCCTCTGTTGATCTTTTCATAAAGAAATCCTGACTTAGTGAGGTTAATGAGCAGTGCTATACAAAAGCCTGTGTGTGCTGTGAAAGGACAAACTGGCCTGATAAAGCGTGTGTGTTTTTGAGCCAATGGAAAGATGCCAGGCCGTTAGGCAGATGAGACTCCACTCCATCAGCTCTGAGCAGGGCAGTGAGGAGCCCTGTCGCTCTGCAGGAGCCCTGCTGTTTAAAAACCCAATTTACTTTAGGGGAAAGTAGGTCTGTTTTAATAAAGACAACAGGTTCTCATTAGATAACTATATTGTAACACATTAAGGTAACTCGGTGTCTAATTTAGTTCTGAATTCGGAGAGTTGAAAGAGGATAGGTTGCTGTTATTGCGCGTTTAAAATACAGTACTTATGTGTTGTAAATATTGTCTGTCTTTGAGGATGATATTGTTACAGTTTACCTGTATTTTAAATGTTACAAAGGTAATTTATTTCATTAAATCTTAACCTCTTGTCGCTTGGCCTCAGATGAAAATAAGCTTGTAGCTTTGTATGAAAATAGCTGGTCTGTATAATAAATGTAAAGTGAATGTTTACTATAAAATGTTATAAGATATCATAATCATCATAGATTTTATCCATTGGCCTTTGATTTAATCCATGATTTGACCGTTGTATACTTGTGTTTACATCAAGAATCATTGTTTGGTAATTTTAAACTTAAACGTATTTTCACCTCAGATGCGTTCAGAATTAGACACAAATTAGACACATTATGTTGTTCTGCTTGGTCAAGCGTGTCCCACAAAGGGGCCCAGGCTCTAGTTAACAGGCTGACTAGTGGGATGTGGTCCACGGTGGAAATAATAAGATAAAGGAGCGTAAATAATTGGATTTGATAATAAACACTTTTCAATGAGACACCATTTTGCCCTTGACATAATTTGGGGTCAGGTCTCCAACTGGCTGCGTTCCCTTGTATTTCCCAAAAGTGCTTTGTTTGTTTGTAAACTGCATTTGTAGAGGCACTAATAATGAAACCAAATATATCTGTTATTCTTCCTAACTACATCAAGTGCTTATGTGCTTTTAGGTTTTAGTTTACATTTACAGCTACCTAGAGTACCTACATGATGACATCTGTAATATATGTTTGCCATCTTCAAGCAGATAATCCAAGCAAAATTCGGCAACAGAAAAAAGCAGCTCACAGCAGGTACAAAGACACGAATACGAATGCAAAAACTTCATTTTCCACCAAGGTGGAAAATTGTCTTAGTTGTCACCTTAAAATACATAAAGAACACATATCCAGCCAAATATCATGTAGTCAAATGTAATATATCAAGTTTGTACTGTTTCTGGTTAAACCTCAGCAGGTGGTCAGTAATCAGTGCTTAGGAGCTACATGTGTCACAGGCAGGAAGATTCTGGCACCAACAAAAGGTATTGTATCTTCAATGAATCTTGAGTCTAGACCAAGTTTTAGCATGTTTGATTTTGTTTTGTTTGTACAGTAGTTTTGTCCATTTTTCATGTCAATGTGACATTGATGAATACATAGGAAGAATAGCTTCTTATGTATTCAATATACTGATTTATAATATAAATATAAATATAAATATAATGTTTATAATACAGTAGCTAATGTGGATCTAAATAAAAAACAAACCACTTTGAGTGTATATGACATGCTGTCAGAATCAGCGTGACATGCTGTCAGAATCACGTAAGTAACAGGAAGTCACAGACTTGGAAATTGCTTTGGCTCAGTGCAACATTCAGAAAGAGATAATAAAAAATAAAGAATAAAAAACACTTCTAAGGAATACATTTAAATTTAAAATTTAAAAATTGTCATATTGGTCACACATAATAGCTTTACCAACATACAACATGCCCACATATGGACTTCCAATCAAGCATAGTTCCCACCCTCTCAGATACAGTACAGCCAAGGACCTGTCTGTTTCATAGAACTCTTCTATGAAATACAGAAGAGAAGGACATGGGGAATGAGCAGTGACTCATGTTTCTGAACTAACAAACACCTCCGATCATAGGATAATCACGTAATAACCCAGTGTATGATGGGAAATGCTGTACGGTTCACAGGCTTTGCAGTCCATGCAGGGGGTCTATGCAGTTTCAATTTGTTTTCGTCTTCACTGCCTGGATCAGGTGCTGCAGCCGGACTGATCTTACCACATTACCGGGTGTCACATGACTGTAATGCAAGCTGACGTCACCTCTCGTCTTCAGCTTGCATGTTGACCGACTGGCATCTCAAACTGCATGGCCTACTGTCTGGTCACATGCCTTTTTGGACTTCTTTTCACACAGCTCCTCCTCCTGTTGTATGAGGTGTTCAAATGTGTTTTTTCAAAGTTCTGTCATTAAAAAAAACAAAAAAAAAACAATATAATTTATTGCTTTTCCCATATAGTCTTCTAAGTCAAAATAAGACTGGAGACTTCCTAAAACTGCTGGAGATTCCTCAGGAATTCAGTTTTAATTATCACCAGAAGAAACGTTAGGGCCATATTATACGATGCGTTTATTATTGTACATGTAAAATATGTGCTTCTGACCACTATGGTTTGGGACACTCTTGCTGAGGAGCAATAACAGATATTGTAGTGTTTTACCAGTGTCGTGTGCCCGGAGGTGTAGTTTGCTGTGATTCAACCACCAGATTTTTGAAGAAAATTTGCTATATTTTGTGTAAAATATTTGTTTGATTTTCTATATAAAATAGATTAATTAAAATGACTTATAGGGTTAGGGTTAGGCAAAAACCCAAAACGCAGGACTGCAATAATGAGAGATTCAATAAAAGCAAATACAAAACCCAGAGGAAAAACAGAAAAAGTAACCAAACACAAAACAAAAAAAATACTTTTATCTTTGAGCAAACGACTGGTTTTCTTTTTGTTGAATGCTTATGAATGAACATCTTTAGCTTTTCTACATCTTTAGTGTATTCAGTGTGTTAAGGGTTTTATAAGACTGTTTTAGAAGTTTTAAAAATAAGCACTTTGTAATCCTCCTGTTTGGACTGGATTGTTTATTGTTGGCACAGGACAGTCTGAACTGAACTGCTACTGTCATGAATGTTGAATTGAAATGTTATGAAAATATTTTGTCTTAAATGTGACTTTTCAAATAAATAATTTGCGCCTACGACCTTTATTTTACATCTTCACTTCAAATTTAAAAAATGTTAAGCTGTTTAAAGCTGTTGTTCTCAAACTGCACACAAAGTGAGTTTTGTTTTGGTGCTATAGGTCAAAAATAGATTTCCATTTTGACCTTTTTTTCAGACTGGTACTCTGGCTTCTTCAGGTGATATATACTGTTCATGTGTATTTTCAATTAACTTATCATAGCTACAAACATGTATTTTTGGCAGATGAATGTTCAAAAAGAAATGATCCAACATAAGCGTTTGAATAGGATTGAGAATATTTGGAGTGGGAAAGTAGCAACATTTTTAAGTTGGATTTAACTATAAAAATACTAATAAACAAGTGAAATTTTACTTAAAAATAAAATGGAATTTTAAGTGTAATTTTCAGAAAAAAATAATTACGTTTTATATATTTTTTTAAGTTGAAAGAAAGTACTATTTTAGGAAACTTGAATGAATATTTAACTTTTATCTGATTAAAAATACAAGTTTGGTTCAATGTAGAATTAAAAGTTGAGAAAACATAATTTACTAGTTGTTACCAATTGAAACGTTTTTTTAAGTTGGTTCAACTAAATTCTTTTTACAGTGTAGTCTCCAAACACAATTTAACAAGTAGTCCTTTTGAATCAAATCAAATGCTAAATAAATATTTAAGGGCTTTATATTTGCTCAAAAAAAATAATCTTTTTTTTTTGTTTGTGTGGAAATCATCTTGCGACCCCCCCAGGGGTTCCCGCGACCCCCCGGGGGGTCGGGACCCCCACTTTGGGAACCACTGCTCTATTGCATAAATTCAAAAGGTATTTGGCGCCATCTGATGTTCAAAACTACATGCCAAACTGAAATCGAAAACCATTTTAGGCCCCAACATTCCGTCTCCCATGCTTTGTAGTAATCGTACATGGTTTCAAATAGTCGCCATGTCTGATGCACATTTGATCTTATCAATAAGTGTATATCACATGATTAAACAATGTGATAACGCAATAAACAATGCAGTTGGAATTATCTTGGTAAAATCCATAATATTAGTAACTATTTACTCACTGGTGAATTACCTGCAAAGACTGCTGATTGTCATGAATTTGGAGAAGATAAGACACATACATAAACTAACTGAGTCCATTAACAGTATGGTAAAACTGTAAACAAGAAAGGCACCAAGACAAAGTCTCATTATTAAATAATCCCATAAAATGTCTTAATAGTATTTAGTTTCCATGATAGATTACTTTCCTGACCAGGCAGAACCTAGTGATAATAAAAGATGATTAACCATTTTGAATATAAAATGTAAGTTTAGGGTGAATTTATATTTTACAACCAGATTAAAGTGAACTGAGTCCACATGGCCAAATGTGAACACAGGTCCTAAGCTAAAATATGGGCCTGAGGTCATATTTGTGGAGATGAGGCCCTCTCACAAGGCCCTCTTGCAGTGACCACTAAGGACCAGTGTTAATGAGACTGAATTCACACACAGTGGTCTCGGTTCACTTTAGAAACAAATGTCCTCGTAATGTCGCTGACTTGTTTTCAAAGAAGTCGCCGGATTTTTGCGGCTGTTGGAGCAGTGACTTCACAAATGAAGCATTTTGCCCCAAGTGAACCAGAAATAGTCCACATAAAGTGAAGTCTGGTTCACCTGGGACTAATTGTGAATTATACAAATAACTGCAATTAAGTAACAGTAAAAATACTTAATTAGATTACAATGACTATTATTACAACAATAATCACAACCAAACATCCCCCATTCCTTAAACCCTGTTTTATTGCTGATTAAGTTGTGCAATATAAAATCAATGCAACAAAGAAACACAAAAACTTAAACATATAATATATGTATATACATATATGGTAGCAAAGATGAAAACAAATAAAGAAATATGATGTAAGCGCTCAAACTCGCTCAAATTGGGACAAACTTGTGTTTGTCCCAGCATAAAGAGTCTTGTAAATGTAAAATGGTGAACAAGTCTGACCACAACATGCTGTTTTCATCCTATCAGGAAACAGGCTATATCCTTTGTCACTGTGAGTCACCTTGTCCTTTGTCACTCTGAGTCACTTTTTGACGCTTTGGGCTGAGAGCTTATTGTCACTTTTCCATCTGAAAAAGCTGATGTGACAGAGGCCTTAAAATACAAGCATCAAAACCTTTGAGAGCGAGGAACTAGTTGCATGGATATTAACCCTTTAGTGTTCACTCCTTGAAGAAAGCAATGTACATTTTTCTTTTTATTATTATGAGAATTAATAATAATGGAATAATTATGATTATTATGGGCGACAGTAGCTCAGTTGGTAGAGCATTGGCCTTAAGGCCAGAAGGTCATGGGTTCAATTCCCACCTCTGCACCTTCTCCACCGACTCCCACTGATGACTGCTGTCATTGTGTCCTTGGGCAAGACACTTAACCCCACTTTGCCCAAAGCCCCCACTGAAAGATCAAGGCTATGCTCACACTCAGAGAGCAGCCGTCCTCCTGTGGACTCACCACCTGCAGAGGGTCAGTGAGGGGCTGGTGCTATGAGACTTGGGTGGCATCTCTGATTGCCACCCCCCTGACCCAGAAATGGATTAAAGGGTAGAAAATGGATGGATGGATGGATTATTATATGAAAATGTTTGAATGACATCAATAAGTTGTTTTTTTATAGGCCTCTAGCAAATGGTTGAGATGGAGTTCGATAGTAAAAGTGAAAGAGATTAACTCTAGATAAAGTGACTCAAAAAGTGATCTACCAAATGGAAACCATTATGAGTTAATCACATGTTTTGAGTTTTGAAAATTAGGTACCATATCTTTAATGGCTCAGTAGCATCTTTTAGAAAACGGTAAATCACATGACTCCGGGTCTGGGCTATCAGTAAATCTGTGCTTTCGGGGCCAAAAGGTTAAAAAGCAGATATCTGTGGATGCAAATGCAGAGGACAGACGTCTCCATAACTCCAACGTCTGAGGCGGGACAGGCTGATCTGGGGTCAGCTCCCAGGACGAGCGTGTGTCTCGTGGTGCACAGCCATTGGTCCAGACACTTCCGCAGTCTCGACCAATGGAAAGGAGACATCTGTTCAAGGGACCCACTCTTTAATATCCCGTCCTCTTCCGTGTGCTCATTCACAACTCCAAAAGGCTGTCGTGAAGACTGCATTTTGTGGTGAAAAATGCAGGTTTTTACTATAATCGCGCTGGTTTTCGCAGCATGCAGCGTTCACGCAAAAGTCTTTTTTCGGGAGGAGTTTTTAGACGGGGGTAAGTGTTGGCACCGAGGCGTAACGTCAAGTCAAACGTGCAGCCGCTAGTTTTAACATCACTGAAACGCTAGCTAAATGTTAAGTGATCATTTAGGAGAGCTTTTTGACAGTTGTTTTAATTGTATGTAGATTGTTTATTACTGAATGTTGCTAATGTGTTATTATCGTTAAGTAATGCAGCCCTTTGCATTAGCTTGTTAATGTTACTCTACCAATGACCAGAAAGCTAGCAGGCCCGACTTTAAAGCTGGGGTGCCCGACTTTAAACTATCAAACACAATCCCTGTCACTAGTTCTTAGCTCTCAATGCTATTCTACCACTAAATTTGCATGTACTTTTGACCTTCATTACATCCTTTTAGATAAACTTTTTTTGTGAAAGACCCCTCGGCCAATCAGCTCTCACAGAATGTAAAAGATGAAGTGTGTACTGATGAAGATAGTGACCGCATGTTTTTGTCCGTTTTGACTTTTTCTGTATGTTTTACTCCAGCTTAAACTGATGTTTCTGTTTCCAGATGAATGGAGGAGTCGGTGGGTGGACTCCAAACACAAGTCTGACTATGGAGAATTTAAACTCGCAGCTGGGAATTTTTACGGAGATGCAGAGAAGGATAAAGGTAAAAACTATTCTACGTCTATCTTATGATCTGGTAATAACTATGCCCCACAATATTTCCACTGTATTGAAAGTGAAACTAAAGTTGTGTGAGCTCTGTAATGATGCCAGCTAGGATGGGCAAAAGCTTATGTGTTTTTGATTCTCCTGCTTTTATTTGCAAATGTACTGATTGTTTGTTTGTATTGTAGGTCTGCAGTCAAGTCAAGATGCTCGTTTCTATGCAACCTCTGCCCGTTTTGAGCCATTTAGCAATGAAGGCAAATCCCTTGTGATCCAGTTTACTGTCAAGCATGAGCAGAAGATCGACTGCGGTGGTGGCTACGTAAAAGTGTTTCCTTCTGACATGGATCAGACAGATATGCACGGAGACTCCACATACTACATCATGTTTGGTAAGGAACTGGCTGTCCTAATGGCAACTGATTTGAACATTTTGGAAAGTGAAATTGACTTAAGTTGTGTATTTATTTCAAATTCAGGTCCAGACATCTGTGGCTACAGCACCAAGAAAGTCCATGTCATTTTTAACTACAAAGGAAAGAATCACCTGATCAAAAAAGAAATTAAGTGCAAGGTAATTTATATTAACATCATCACGGTTTGTGCCCATTGACTACATGACTAAACTCTATTTTTCTGCCAGGATGATGAGTTGAGTCACCTGTACACTCTGATCCTGAACCCAGATCAGACTTATGAAGTGAAAATTGACAATGAGAAGGTAGAATCTGGCACTCTGGAGGAGGACTGGGACTTCCTGCCGCCCAAGACAATTAAGGACCCTGAAGCAAAGAAGCCAGAGGACTGGGATGACCGTGCCAAGATCGACGATCCCGAGGACTCTAAGCCTGAGGTAAAATATGAGAGTACTGTATAGTAGTTCAAGCACAGACCATGTTATTTATTATCTAAATAAGCAACTGTTAAAAATAAATAAAAAAAGTATGCCTTTACTAATTAAAACTGCTATAATATAATGAATTTTCTTTAGGACTGGGACAAAGCTGAGAACATTCCTGACCCTGATGCCAAGAAGCCTGACGACTGGGATGAGGATATGGACGGAGAATGGGAACCGCCCATGATTCCCAACCCAGAGTACAAGGCGAGTGCTCTACCGGCTCCTGTCATGGTTCTCGCACACATTTTACATGTCTCTATAACAATGACTGTTCACTGCAGGGCGAATGGAAACCCAAACAAATTGACAACCCCAACTACAAAGGAACTTGGGTGCACCCAGAGATCGACAACCCAGAGTACATCCCCGACGCCAACATCTACAAGTTCGAGAGCATTGGTGTGCTGGGACTCGACTTGTGGCAGGTGAGATTGGTTCTGATGAGCTCCTGTATCTCAGACATTGCCGATACACTGACCTGGTTTCACACAGACGTTTCCTTCATTTTTCTTGCATATTTTTTCTGTTATTGATTTCTAGTCGTCCTATCTCTTACAAAGTATCAGGGTGCCACCTTGAAACGTTATAACTTCAATATTTGGCTATGATCTCCTGTTTACACATGTTTTGTTTAAAGGTTAAATGAACACGACAAAACGACAAAGTCAACGCTGCAGATTTAACTCTTATCCCAGGGCACACATTACAATTGACAAATAACTGAGTTAAAACCACACTATTGCACAAGCCAAACTTTCCACACTCATTTGATCATTCGTAATTTATATTTAGACATTAGACATCTTTGCCCTGTAACAATAATGTAATGAACCTTCTTTTTTTTACTTTCAGGTGAAGTCTGGTACCATCTTCGACAACTTCCTCATTACAGACGACGTGAAGGAAGCAGAAGATATTGGAAATGAAACATGGGGTGCAACAAAGGTAAAAATAACGCAGACTTTAGCAAAACATAAATGTCGATCAGATAAATAATAGTTATCCTGTCTCTCTCTAATAGGAGCCAGAGAAGAAGATGAAGCAGGAGCAGGATGACGTGAAACGCAAAGAGGAAGAGGAGAGGACCAAGGCCCAGGAAACCGAAGAAGCCGACGAGGAGGATGATGACGACGAGGATGAAGGCGGAGAGGAGGAGGAAGATGAGGAGGAAGACACTAAAGATGAAGAGGAACTTTCGGAATCCGACGAAGCCGCAAAACTCCAAGACAAAGACGAGCTCTGAGTGGAAAGAAAAAAATAATGTGAAGTTTAGTTTATTTGTCATACAACTTTTTTGGAGCCGCTGTCGTCCATTCCCAGGCATTTTTGTGGCTGCTGTGCATCCTTTCTCTGGGAACGGAGGACAAGGCCTCATACAAAAGGGTGAAAATAATATAAGAAAGTGGATGTCATTGTTGTAAGTTCCTCTAGAAGTTGTTTCCTGTTTAAATCTGTTTGATAATCCAAATAATTTACTTCGGTTGTTCAAGGCACTGACGCTCAACACCTTTACTTCTTTTTACAACCGTTTGTCACTCACTCACTGACTGTTCTGATGAAATGGTTCAACTGTTAAATAAAAAAGTTCCAGTTTGATATTCTTATTGTGCCTGGTGAAAATGAAACTTTATTGCTATGGAAATTCAAACTTTGACTGAAGTAAGTTATTTTGGTTCTTGCATTGGCTTCTTCAATACTGATACTGAGTGCTAAGAGATTGTTCATTTAACCTGCCTGAATGTTATTTTGTTTTTCAAACTATCGGTTAAATCCAATGTGACTTCAATAAATCAGTTCTTTTTTTATTGCACCAAATGTCAATACCAAAGTTTTTATTAAAAGATTATAAGAACCATCCATACCTGTAATGTGGGCTATTCATTATGCATGTAGTTGTATATTTTTCATATATTATCATACAATTTCAAATAATAAAGCAACTTATATGCAAAAAGGACCTGCCTCACACAGAAATATACATGTGACAAAAGCCTTCATTATTTAACTGGTAAACCTGTCAGTTTATAGAATAATGAAACTTTCCTGTCTTCTTTACTTCATATTGATAATGCGCATGCGCTCTACATGCATTCCCGTGTAGAGTTTGGGCTGCATCCATTTACTGTAAATTACCTCCTTTCTTGTTTATGTTCCTTCTCATTCGGACGCAGCCCGAGTTAAAGTTGTTCAGCATTTGTCAACGCCAGATAATACATCACAGATTTGTATTTAATTGTTTTTAAATGTAGTTTTGTACCGTAGTTGACCTACGAATCCTTTATGTCACTGCTGCTCGTGCCCGTGAGGTTAAGAGGCGTGTGCGCGTTCCCGACACACCAGGAAATATGGCGGCGCTCATGACACTCAGTCAGGTAACAACTTACTTTACATCGAGATCAAAGTCTGTTTTCGAGCCATGTTACTCACTCTTTTTGCTAACATAGCATTTGTGAATTGTGGCGGGGTTGGCACGGTCTTTCTCGGGTGAATATTGTCGCGGAAAAAGTTAGGTTTCGCTCTGACATAAGCCTAAAGTTAGTGGAGTCTTGTCAATAACACTGAAACGCAAGCCTCCCAAGAACACTGTAATTACTATTGATTCATCACGTAATTTTCTTTTTTCTCATCCTTAATTTTTCTCATAGATAATTCACTTATACAACATGAACAGGCGGATTTTAATATTACATTATTGTTTGTGTGCAGCTCTCAAATGGGAATTTGGCTTATGAAAACTATTACAGACAGGTATTCACTGCTTGTTATACTTGCTTGACAATTTCGAGTTCAGATATATTGTTTTATTAAATGCATTAACTAATATCTGTTTTGTTTACACGTTTTGTATGAAGCTGGATCCACTAAGTACAGGCAAAGTTTCTGCTGGGGATGCTGCTCAATTCTTAAAGAAGTCTGGGCTTTCAGACAGTACGCTTGGAAAGGTATAAACAACTATTAGAGCGTATTATTTAAACACATGATCAATTCTAATCTTTCTTTATAGATTTGGGATCTAGCTGACTATGAACGAAGGGGGTATTTGGATAAGAAAGTAAGTGTTGTGATTGCAATTAAAAAGTTTATTTTTGTATAGCTCAAAATCACAAAAGGAGTCTTCTCAGAGGATTTCACAAAGTTATCGTTTTACCATAAACTAATCAGAGAAGGCAATAATAACAAACGCATAGGAACCATTGGCCCGTAGGGAGTGGGATGGCCAGATTCAGATTCATTTTAAATGTCATTTGCTGTAAAACTACTTTGGATTACATTTGCAAAAGTTGCCAGTGTACACCAGATAAGTACACAAATCAAACAATATAAAAGAACAGGAATAAAACGAGCTAAAAGAGCATGAAACACTTGTATTGAAACTGTATACGTTGATCAATTTCACAGTGACAAGTGCAAACCACTGCCCATAAATGTCCTCATTTTTGTTCTACGTTTTCCAGGGATTTTTTGTCGCTTTAAGACTTGTGGCTTCAGCACAAAGTGGAAATGACATCAGCCTTAACAACCTCACCCAGACTCTGGCAGCTCCTAAATTTGTGAGTCAGTAAAACATAGTTATTGTGTTTTTAATAAAAAAACACTCAATATGCTCAACTTGAACACATTTACATTACAGAGAGATACAAGTAGCCCCTCATTACCAGTGTCCTCATCTGCACCAGATTCTCAATGGGCTATAAGAGTAAGCTGCAGTTCATCGTCCTGCCAAAGTGGGAAAAATAAAAAAAAATTACAAGAATTTTTGTGTTTTAGGCTGAGGAAAAGGGGAAGTTTGAAGGCATTTTTGAGAGCCTTTCTCCTGTAAATGGTTTGCTTTCTGGAGACAAAGTCAAACCTGTTTTGATTAACTCCAAACTGCCTCTGGACATATTAGGAAAGGTCAGTGGGATATTTTTAGGAACTTTATCATCATGCTGTACATCCAAGGCTTTGATATGAGTCTATTTACACTTGTTGTTTTGTATTTATATAGATTTGGGATCTGAGTGATGTTGACAAAGATGGGAGTTTGGACAAGGATGAATTTATTGTGGTGAGTTTGAGTGAATTGTGTGCGATGATCTGATTTATATTTGTGTATTTAGATGAGCTATGCTATTGAAACGTAAATGACACTAATTTATTTATTCTAGTGTATGTAATTCTTTTCTAGGCTATGCATCTTGTGTATCGGGCTATGGAGAAAGAGCCTGTTCCCGCAACATTACCTCAGTCGCTCATTCCTCCATCTAAAAGAAAGAAGATTCCCGGGGCCTTGCCGGGGGCCGTGGCTGTGTTACCTGGTTTCGCTGGGTTCTCGTCCGGATCAGCTCTTCTCAAAGACACACTGCGCTCCACTCCTCCTCTGGCCAACACTCCACCTCCCACCACTGCCAGCATCTCACCAAAGCACTCCTTCAAGTCCTCCCCTCAGGTTTGCTGCTTTCATACAGTGATGTAAGAAACTCAAGCTTCCCGGGAGGCTTTTATCATTGTAAAAACGAGTTCAAGATTAATGTCTAAGTTGTTTGAATAGGATTAATGTTATAGCCTTAGACCGCCTGTTATGCCATAACCGGGGGACAATGTGTTGCTAAGGTGGTTGCTAAGATGGTTGCTAAGGCAAGCTGGAGTTTTCCCAATGAATGATTGGTCAATCCTTATATACTGTAGCCCATATCTGGATTTGATGAGTGTGACACAAACTATTACTGAGCTAGAATAGTTTACTTTTCAATGTAAGTCAATAAGAGCCAGAGCGAATGTTTGTGAAAGTGAAATCAAAATCATAAACTTAAATGAATACAGTTATACAGTACAGTATAAAGCAGTGTTTGTGCAGTAAATCAATCACAATAAAAACATATACAGTGCCTTGCGAAAGTATTGAACTTCTGGAGTGAGTTTGCTGCACTGAAAGTAAAGGGGCCGAATATTATTATATGACTTGGACCGTGCGCGCGCTCTGATTGGCTGATTACCGGTCTGATATTATCCCATCTTGGACCGTTACCATGACAATTGGTCCGAACAGTGCGTATCACATTTGATATCTTTCCTCGGACCGTTACCATGACAATCTGTCCGCATCGCGTATCACACAAAACCAAGTCGGACATGAACATACTTCACAAATATCTCAAAAGCATTGGTGAAGACACAGACGAGAGTCATATAATAAAACATTTATTAACCTTGCTTGCTTGGTCTGTACAGAGAAATATCAGACCTTGGCCTTTTTGCACAGTACTGTACATTAAGGCCGCTCGGTTAATAAGCCGTTAATATTGCACGCTTTTCAGTTTTTTTATTTGTTAAAAAAGTTCATATTATCCAAAAATTTTGTTCCACTTCACGATTGTGTCCCACTTGTTGTTGATTCTTGACAAAAATTTTAATGAAGCCTGAAATGTGGCGAAAAGTTCAAGGGGGCCGAATACTTTCGCAAGGCACTGTATTTAGTGTTGTTGTGGACTGTCAGCTGTTTACTGCCCCCCTAAAGAGAACACACTCTGGGCAGCGCCAGTTTGGAATTATTTGAAACCCCCAGTACGATTCTGTTATAGACTTTTGACTGCTCTAGTGTCATTGTTGCTTGTAATAACAAATGACATATATGCTGCAAGTGCAAGAAAAGCTCCAGATGACCCGGTTCTGTTCTCATGGATAACTGAGAGAGACTGAGTTGTAACAGTTTTCTATCTGTTACAGCATTGATTTAATTATCTTTTCTATCTTCAATGAGCATGTTTTTTTCTGACTTAAATTCCCTTTTTGTTCCTGTCAGTGTCTAAACTTAAAGGAAGGACTTGTTTTGCCACATTGTTGAGTTCTGCGGTCTGGCCAGTTTGGGAACTTGTTTTGAGAAACTTTCATCAGATTTCACTCTTCACCTGCTCTGTCAATAGCTTTTGATCATGTGTTCTAAGTCCTAAAATAATGTGTTTCAAAATGCATATTATGACAGAATAATAATGAATATATGTCACATGTAATACACTCCCTGTTTCTGTGTCTGCAGCCGGCGGTGAACTGGGTTGTCCCGTTGGCGGACCGGGACAAATACAATGATCTTTTCAAGAAAACAGACGCAGATGGAGACGGTCTGGTCACCGGGGCTGAGGTCATCGAGATCTTCATGCAGTCCACTCTGTCACAGACCATGCTGGCTCAGATCTGGTGAGAGCTGGTTACTCCTGAAATGTTACATTTTTCATTTTTCATTCTTCTGAATACTGCCAAAGGTTGGCCTGTGCTTCTTGAAAAGCAGGTTTGTAAACATTTTGCACCATAGTTCTTCTAAAGCAACGTCAGTAAAGCACATTTACATAATTATGTTGAATGTATTTATGAAATGGTCTTTATGAGTTGAGACTATATTTTATTTGAGAAGCTTGAAGTTGTGTTTGATGTAACCTTTCCAATATTACAGGGGTATAAATTGTTTATTGTGCAGTTTATTCTTAGCCTTTTGGCTCCCCCTGGTGGACAAATGAGGACATCAACATATTATATTTTGTTTCACTTCTGTTTTTTGTGTGTTGTCCTTAATCAGTTGTCGACAACAAATAATCAAACAATTCGAACACAGGAAATGCATTATTAACAAACACATACGATCCATTAGTCCGTAGAGAGCAGGATCACCTTTGTCCATAAATATTACTAAGTCATACAAACCATAAAAGTCCATAAACACTCAAATACTTCACTCTTTTTCCATCTCCCTGTAAAATATGTTTCATCAGAATGTCTAGATCACCAGTGATAGTTTCTCGCTGCTATGGAATCACCTTCCATATCTCTCTTTAATAATATTTATAGTATAATATCAAATCACACGGATGACATCACAGGAGGCATGTACAGTGCCTTGCGAAAGTATTCGGCCCCTTTGAACCTTTCAACATTTCGCCACATTTCAGGCTTCAAACATAAAGATATAAAATTTTATTTTTTTGTCATGAATCAACAACAAGTGGGACACAATCGTGAAGTGGAACAAAATTTATTGGATAATTTAAACTTTTTTAACAAATAAAAACTGAAAAGTGGGGCGTGCAATATTATTCGGCCCCTTTACTTTCAGTGCAGCAAACTCAGTCCAGAAGTTCAGTGAAGATCTTTGAATGATCCAATGTTGTCCTAAATGACTGATGATGATAAATAGAATGCACCTGTGTGTAATCAAGTCTCCGTATAAATGCACCTGCTCTTTGATAGTCTCAGGGTTCTGTTTAAAGCGCAGAGAGAACCATGAAGACAAAGGAACACACCAGGCAGGTCCGAGATACTGTTGTGGAGAAGTTTAAAGCCGGATTTGGATACAAAAAGATTTCCCAAGCTTTAAACATCTCAAGGAGCACTGTGCAAGCAATTATATTGAAATGGAAGGAGTATCAGACCACTGCAAATCTACCAAGACCCGGCCGTCCCTCCAAACTTTCATCTCAAACAAGGAGAAGACTGGTCAGAGATGCAGCCAAGAGGCCCATGATCGCTCTGGATGAACTGCAGATAACTGCAGCTGTGGTGGGAGAGTCTGTCCATAGGACAACAATCAGTCGTGCACTGCACAAATCTGGCCTTTATGGAAGAGTGGCAAGAAGAAAGCCATTTCTCAAAGATATCCATAAAAAGTCTCGTTTAAAGTTTGCCACAAGCCACCTGGGAGACACACCAAACATGTAGAAGAAGGTGCTCTGGTCAGATGAAACCAAAATCGAACTTTTTGGCCACAATGCAAAACGATATGTTTGGCGTAAAAGCAACACAGCTCATCACCCTGAACACACCATCCCCACTGTCAAACATGGTGGTGGCAGCATCATGGTTTGGGCCTGCTTTTCTTCAGCAGGGACAGGGAAGATGGCTAAAATTGATGGGAAGATGGATGGAGCCAAATACAGGACCATTCTGGAAGAAAACCTGTTGGAGTCTGCAAAAGACCTGAGACTGGGACGGAGATTTATCTTCCAACAGGACAATGATCCAAAACATAAAGCCAAAACTACAATGGAATGGTTCACAAATAGACGTATCCAGGTGTTAGAATGGCCAAGTCAAAGTGAATTCAATCGAGAATCTGTGGAAAGAGCTGAAGACTGCTGTTCACAAACGCTCTTCATCCAACCTCACTGAGCTCGAGCTGTTTTGCAAGGAAGAATGGGAAAGAATTCCAGTCTCTCGATGTGCAAAACTGATAGACATACCCCAAGCGACTTGCAGCTGTAATTGCAGCAAAAGGTGGCGCTACAAAGTATTAGCGCAAGGGGGCCGAATAATATTGCACGCCCCACTTTTCAATTTTTTTATTTGTTAAAAAAGTTTAAATTATCTAATAAATTTCGTTCCACTTCACGATTGTGTCCCACTTGTTGTTGATTCTTGACAAGAAAAATTCATTTTTATATCTTTATGTTTGAAGCCTGAAATGTGCCGAAATGTGGCGAAAGGTTCAAGGGGGCCGAATATATTCGCAAGGCACTGTAAGTCTTCCTCATTAGTTTCTACTTTGCTCAGAGAACCACTACAGATGTCTACTTGATATCGTTAACACTTCTAAATAATCGTTAACACTTCTAAATAATCGTTAACACTTCTAAATAATCGTTAACACTTCTAAATAAGCGTAAATAAAGGACAAGGGGTTCGGGAAATCTCAATCTCATCATTTTTTTATGTTTTAAGACTCTGCTCAGAACCATTCCTGTTCAAAATTACAACGGTAAAAATTTATAGATGTAATTGAATTGTTAAATGCATTGTTTGGTCTTGCATCTAAAGGGGTCTCGCGGACACAAAACAAACTGGAAAACTAAATCGTGAGCAGTTCTCTCTGGCCATGCACCTGATCCATCAGAAGATCTCCAAAGACCTGGACCCTCCCTCAACCCTGAGTCCTGACATGATCCCGCCCTCTGAACGGACTGGCACTGGGATTGTGAGTACAGCTGTTCTACTGTTTACCGTCCTCTGCTGCGCAATTACGAAATCAGAAATGACACGGTTTTGGTGAACGCGATATGATTTAAACTTGTCCAGACGTATTTAGTTTACATGATAAGTCAGATTCAGTTTACTTGTCCTTTGCAGTAAAACCACATTGGAATACATGTCACATACATAATTGACATTTTATGTATTATTGAGTAAGATAAAGATTAAGTGAAATCACCAGAGGACATTTACACATTATTACATTACTTATGTCGGACTCTGTGGATCCAGTGTGTATAGTTGTGTGCTTTTACTCACAGCTCTTAAATGTATGTGCGCTGCAACACTGACATTTTCCTCTGTGGGGCGATTAAAGGTTCTCTTATCTGAATGATTAATCCATTACTAAACTAGATGTTTAGGTTGGATTAGTCTTGTCTTGGACAAACAATGGGAACAGAGAACAGGAACATGACAGGAGACGACATGACAATAACAAACCTTGGTTCATTCACTCCTCACAAAACAAACAAACACAACATTATTGAAACAAATTGTTAGTTGCGATTCATAAATTAATTAATAATTTCAGATCTGATTCCGTCGGACTCTAGGTTTGAAAGGGCACTTGACCCTTTGGTCATGGTTCCCATACTGAGGGTCGCAGGACACTGCTGGGAGTGATATACCGTTATATGACCAGTGATTATCAGTGATTTAATACAAGACAGTAGGTGCCCTTCTGTAGTATAACGGTTTAATATTTAAATCAGCAACAGTTTAATGATTTTAATACTCAAAGGTTTGAAAGGTTTTCCACACTGGAGGTCAGAAACGGTTTTAAGTTTTCTTTTCTCTGTAAAACAGATACATAGATATCTATAGATGTATAGATACACGTATACATTTCTATATTAACTCGTTTGACACTGAATCTTCACTACTGTGGAACGAATAAAGGATCTCTCCTTGTATATTAATCTTAAAATTTGGGAACTCCTGTTTTAAGGAAATAGTGTCTTTACTGTATTCTTGAGGCACATCATTACAGGTTGTATTCCCACAGCTCTACATTGTATTTTGTTGCTTTCCTCGTTCCCATGGCGACAGTTTGAACTGCTCCCCTTTGTAGTTATCACAGAGTGGCTCAGCAGGTGGCGCTGTTGTCTGTGCTTTACTCTTATTGCTCTGTGTGTCTACACTGTTTCATCACTTTTCTGTCTCAGATCATCTGCTCAGTTTTATATATTGCACTTAACAATGTATTTCTCTGCCAAAAGAGATTTAACAGGTCTAAATTATGTTTACCATTTGCAATCAATTTCATTTGGTTGGAAATTCCCTAAGTTTCCTAAGTTTTAGTTCTGAGACACAATGCTGCCATCTGCTGAAATCTTTGACTCACTACATCTTTAGAGATATCTTTTCACAATGTAGACAAGCCAGCTTAGTTTCTCTATAACTCTATTTATGTATAAGGAAATTCAAAGTGCTTTACACAACAAGAAGGAAACACGGTATTCATCATTCTCACTTCACTGTCTGACTTGCAAAAAAACATGACTTAAGTTATGATTATTCTGACGAAGGCCTGAGAGCCAAACATAGACCATTTATTATAAGTGGACAAAAAAAGTGGATGTTTCCCATAGTATTTTTGTTGTCTGCGGAAGAAACTGATTCGAACATGGACCAAAACTTTGTCATTGAGTACTTCCCTATCAGGCTTCATTGAGCTTGAGCCGGGGTGTCAAACTCATCAGAGGCCGAATAAAAAGTGGTCAGGGGCCAAAAGAAAAGGCATATCCTTTTCTTATAATTTATTTTACATTATGATGGTATGTTGAATTTTTTCTCAAAACAGAAGGAGTTTAGTGTTTAGATTTAACCACTCTGGATCAAATACAAATTGAGTCAAGTTATACATTTGGCTTAAAATGTTTTGTGAGAAAGTAGATGATGTATCTATGATGATGCTTGGTAAACTCATAACCATCAATGCCATCAAGTTATTAATAATTGATTTAATTTAATATAATTTTAGGGGCCACTAAAAATGGTCTTAAGGGCCAGATTTGGCTCATGGGCCTGAGTTTGAAGGTCAGCATTGTCCATCTATGTACAGTCTATGGTGCCAATCATGGACATCCCTGTAAAAATTGCTGTGGTCTTGAACTTCAACCAAAACCTTTTTAGAAGCATGTTTTGATGGATTGCCACACCAGTCTTACATACTGATTTAAAAAAATTGAAATTCCTTTTGCCTTACGACCTACCCTACAGTTACAAGTCCTCTTTTGAGTTCTCACATGCCTAATTTTAAAATATGACCTTATTTCTCTGCATGAAATTCTCTTTCATTGTTCGACATGCATATCTCCTCATTCATGTCCTCTGTCTTCCATTGTGTCTGTGGCTCTCTAGTCATGCAAGGTGTTTAGATTTCCTTCCTGCGTCTTTTGTTCGAGCAGACGGAGCAGTGGGGAGCGGGGGGCCATGCACTACTCATGGCTCCACTGATATCTCCCTCACATACTCTGTGTTTCCCACATGATTAGAACATTGTATGGGGAACTTATTTTAGTGCATCAGCAGAAATGCCATAGTTTGCCTTCCATCTTTCCACCCACTACAGACAGACTGGCTAGCAACAATGTATCATCAACTCGCCACTTTTTCACATTTTAGAGTGCTTTGCTGGAAAATCCTCATACCTTTAAGCAAAAATAGGTTTCTTTGGAGGTTCTTAAGTGGATCCCTGTGGGCCTCCCCAAGGTTTTCTCACTGTTTGTTTGTTGTTCCTTGCAAATGTAAAAGGGTACAATTTAATGTATTCTTGTATAGCCCTGAATTGCAAGAGTAGTTATCTCGGAGGACTTTACACAACTGTTGAATTCGCCAACACAGATCAGAGAATCAAACCGTTCCAACACGTAATGAAAACACAAAACACATTAATCATCTGCCCCTTTATGGACCTATAGCTCCTCAATGACAACGCTGCACACGGTTTCACGAGTACAGGTGCATTTATTGACCTGACAAGTGTCATAATTGTTGTTTAACGCCATGAAAACTACAGGACAAATTAAATATGCATTAACACCACTTGTCTACGTTACAAAAATGAAACTACCTCGTGGCCTCCTGTCATGTCAGAGGTCTTTAGCTTAATTTTAAAGCAATATGCGCGTTTCTGCTGTACACAACATATTATATAATTAAAAACACAAATGTAAATACACAGTACAAAATGGATATCTGATACAGTTGCTTTCTCACTGTGAAAGTGGTTCTCGCTCTGATGCCTTTGAGCACGAGAGAGCGTTTACTTGTCTACCTGAGGGCCCCTTGTAATCTCCAGTTCTCAAAGATTCTTGCGATAACAAAATGACGAAATAAACCAATGTATAGGAGTGTAATAACAAATACTTTCTTTTAGAGAAACATAAAAGAAGTTACTAATGTTATTTACAAAACAATTTTAAATCAAATAAATGGAAAGCAGAATAAACTTTTATAAGAAACCTTTATAACAACACTTACAGGACCAATACCAATGCCCATACATGTTGTTGAATGTTCTGGATCATCACAACTGTCCTTTTAGACCCCCGTGTGAGGCCTATCTAAGGACAGTGAGGATTCGGGACATTTAAGGACATGTATGTACAGTTATTAACATTTTTAGACAGATCATCCCGCTCTGTGTGGACCATCGGCTACTCTGGCTTGTTAGTATTTCATTTCATAACCCTACAACTTTGTAAAGTCCTTCAAGACGACTGCTGTTGTGATTTAGGTCTATGCAAAAATAAATGTCATTCAATTGAAAAAGACATACTGCTATTTGTTAGGTAATGACTGACTTAATTTATTTCCCTCATTTTATATTTATTACACATATGTAAGCGTGTATGTTGCAATTAAATAATTTCTAATTCAGAAGCAGCACATTTGTATAAATAAAAATTGATCATTCATTCGCATGCAGCAAATAAATGGATGACATTTTCCAATTGTGCATTGTAATAAAACAAGTGGATTCTGCAGATTGTGAACTTTAAAATGAGGTATGACACTTTAGTGGGGGTAGTACTTAAATAAAAAAAAAGAATTGGCAGTCGGCCCCTATTACTTGTCATATAAATTCCAGTATGAAATGATTGAAATGTTTCTCCTGAGCTGCTGGGGCGACGTCACCGTATTCTACAATGACTTCATCTCATTTTGACACATTTTGGACGCATGCAGAATCACACTGTACATACACTATTACCACAGGCCTCTCCATGTTTTGGCTGGACAGCCTGTGTGGCTCTGAACCAGCTCCGTCACTGTTGTGGCTGATGTTTTTCGCGGTTGTGGATGTGCCTCAGGAAAGCAGCAGCTCCGTGGGGCCGGTGGAGCTGACAGGGAACAAAGAGCTGGATGACCTCAACCAGGAAATCGCCCGGCTGCAGAGGTGAGGCCTGCACTGTCACAGCAGTTTAGTCTCTGTCGGAGTTCAAAGACATTGTTCTGTTTGCCACCTGCCAGGTCTCTACACATTATGCAATACTTCTGACATGACTGTGAAGAGATATTAACTACAATCTAAACTAGATATTCAATGGAGCAAGTATCAATTCTTTAACACTAGGACTCTCACAATCATGAAACTACTAGAACACCCAGAGCCGTCATTTTGACTATCATTTGAAATTAGCTTTTTTCACCAGATTAAATGAAAGTAAGTGACTTTTAAGGGTTTTACCTTTTTGTTTGTGTGCTAAAACTTGAAATACATCAAAAACTAGAATTTGGCTGAAGACGAAATACTAACTACTGACAGTAAACGGTGTGTTTCTATAGTACCAGCACTCGCTCTTCTCTGATAGAAAACTGAACCAGAACCAGTACCAGTCCAGGATGAGGACTCTTTAATAAAAAGGGCTTTAACCACTGTAGAAAAAAAGCAACCAAAAATGGCTACATTTGACCCTAAGATAATTTCATGAAAAGAATGACATGGAGATAAACTGCATATAGATACAGAAAAAGTCTCAATGTTATGAAGAGGCCAAAGGTACTGTACATGAGAACATGAGTACATAGATTTATCAACATGTGTTCTATATTCTTTATATGTTTTAACTGTTGATTCTCTGATCTGTGTTGGTGATTTCAATCTGTTTTGTTAAGTCCTCTGAGATGACTACTGATGTGATTTAGGGCTATACAAGAATAAATTGTATTGTATTGTATGAGCAGAGTTATCACACTTACAAAACTAAAACCGTCAAATTGACTGGTCTGGTTATTCTAGTGTTAAAGAAGACATACACCATCTGAAAAGTGTCTCTGTGCACCTTTTTGAATAACTGTCATTATAATGTTTGTCACCATCAACCATCCTTCGCTACAAGGCTAATATCTACTGACCTATGTCTTGTTTGGTTGGAAAGTTCCTTTGACTTTGAAACACTGACATGAGGTGACTGCAGGATGTAAATATTCATATCACATTGATTGGGAAATGATTGTCTTTTATATATATCCACATTATTCCCTCAAATGACCTTTTTTAATGAAATGTTACAATAATATAATAAAAAACGAGAGCATCGAACCGCATATTAAAATTCTTCGGAGGATATTGAGTTGTCCTTGTCCTTTCCGGTAAACCACATAAGTATGTATGACCTGATCCAGCTATTGTTGTCTACAAGTGCTCCATGAATACTTAATTGAAAGCCTGAAAGAATCTTTTAAGAGAGGTTTTGCATATAAAGTTAGGAGGGCCAAATCCATATCTTGTAGCTGTGCACAGTTCAATACCATGTAACCACTAACAGAAATCTGGATTCTCACCAATAATAATAATTAACCCCATTTATACTTGACGTTGTTTAATATTCCCACATGTTGCAAGCAGACGGGACCTTGTTTTTCTGTAGCGTAGTAACAAAACCATTGGAACAAATCGTGGTTCTGTGTTGGTTTGATTTGAGCCTTTGCTACAGATATTTTTTGAGCAGTCAATATGAAGTGTAATTACTCATCTTATGTACAGTTTAGCCTTACTTACATTGTGACTTCTTTTATCAAATTCATTTCTATGTCATTATTTTTAATGAAATCATCTTTTATCTTTGAAACGTGAGTTCTACCTTTTCAACTCTCAGAATCTCCCTGTTTTGATCGCTTTGCTCGCCTTTTCTCCCGGTGCTGCTCCTGGACTTGTTCTGGACTTTTCTTGGACTGGTCTTGAACAGCTCCTTGGACTGGTCTTGAACAGCTCCTTGGACTGGTCCTGGACTTGTTCTGGACAGGTTCTGCACTGGTCCTAATTCTGAGCTCAAACGGCTGGTTTTTTCCACCAGAACAGAGCAAGTCCTAGTAACCATAGCAACACAATGTTTACTTGACAGCAGTTTGTCGAAAGGCTACTAAATACTAACGCTTTTGCTGTATTTCAAGTTGTTTTCACCAGTTTTAGCATTTCAAACTAAATAAACAATTTTTGATAAAAGTAGTTCCATTGATTTGAATGGGAGCTGTCAAAATGACTGCTGTGGGAGTCCTGGTGTTAAACGTATCCTTTAAAGCCTGGAGCTGCACTTTGTCACTCACTAAATCCTTTCCTACTGTAAACCATTCGTTATGTTTACATCAACAGAAGCAACACATCATAAACCGCTCTTACTATACTATAGGCTCATTAATTTCAGGAACAAGAAAACAATCTATAAACTATCGGAGCTTTTACGTCTCCGCTACGTGCCGGAAAACCCCGTCCTCTTTCTCCAGGCATGCTAAATATTACCACATTATTCAGATGACTGCCAAACGGTAATGCCAAGTGTAAGGAGGCGCTTTAGTTTCATAATAAAAACCATAAATTGCTATAGCTCATCTTTGCCCTTTGTTTTGTGCATGTTTTTTTGTTTTCTCCAGAGATAAGTTCATTCTGGAGCAGGAGATCGGGCAGAAGGAGGACAGCATACGGAGACAGAATAGTGAGGTTCAGGTGAGGTCACAGTTGAATAAGAAGTAACATTTGCATCTACATTACCATTCTGTTTCAAATGTTCCTTAAAGCTGAACTCTCCAAAATATCCTCTTATCCTCTCTTGCCCTTTATTCATGGCTTGCCGTTTCCTGTCTCATGCAACATTCTGAATACCGTTTTTCAATGCAAAAATGCAATATTTTGTCTCTATTTTTGACCATTCTGTGGATACCTCTTCAGCGTGCATCTAACCCACCTGGTTTATTAATGCAAATCCAAGACCTACAAATCACACCTATGGCCTTTTCTAACACAATCACTAAAGCAGACTAGAAATGACAGCCCTTTCACTATTATTGCCGACATTTAGGCACAGAAAACTTGACTTGAAAAGCTCCCCTCACAGACCTGTGCCTCTGAAGTAGCATTCAAATGCATCTCGTAAATAACAGTTTCACAGTTGATATACAATCAACATACAAACTGACAAACAACTGACAAACTTCATTGACGTTTTGTTACTTCAACAAATGGTAGACGTTGAAGCTTTTATCACTGACTCTTCTGGCCATGTTCCAGCTTCTTCCCTGTGTAAGATGAGGCTCAGGACATCCTACCATGCTAACCTCTACTTTCCACAAGCTGTTATAACATCAAACAATGTCGACAGTTGAAGCACGTTTCTGAGTTGTTACACACTATTTTATCTTTTTTTCATGTTTTTATTTTTTTATTTGAATGGGACAGTGCCCAGTGTAGAGCGCTTTGTGTGACCTTGCCAGATTTTGCCATAAAGGCCAGCTTTTCCAACTGTAGTCCTGCTGCAGGTTGGTATTACAGCCACCAACAAGCAGAGCAACAGTTATTTAAAGCCACATACTGTACAGACATATAAAGCATACATAAGTTAAATTAGCCACATCGAAATATAAATGCACAGTACAGGACAAACATGTACAGACTTTTAGCTGACTTTGTGACTGCAGCTTTGATTGTTCACAAGCCACAGTTTGAGAAACACAAGGTTCTTTGTGTGTTTGTGTATCTTTTGTCTCTGCAGTATAAAAAACAAACACATAGGAATGCTTGTCAAAAAAAAAGTAAAGTCTCGAATCTTGAAGAAAAACATATGGTGTCAGAAAACTACGACCGTCCTCCTCCCTCACACTTCCAAACAGTCTGATCTGACAGCATGTTTTTGGCGTTCAGAACATGCAGGGTGACGTGGAGCGAGAGAGCGTCGGGCTGCAGGACCTGGAGACGCAGAAGCAGAGCGCCCACAGTCGGCTGGACGAGATGGAGCAGCAGCGAGCGAAGCTGGAGGGAATGCTCAATGACGTCAAACAGAAGTGCCAAGAAGAGAGCCAGATGGTCAGAAAGCTCCCTAATAAAAATAACATGTTTATAGCAACGTTTCCCTTCAGGTGCCATGGTAATGCACATGTGGACTCCATTTAGGCAGAGGGGCGTACTCCCACAAAACACGTGTTCTCACATTTTACATATGGAGCAAGTTACGGAGCTGGACACAATCAGGGAAATGATATTGTGTGTACATGAAATACAGACGGTGAAGGCAAAACGCCAGAAATGGTTTTAAAGGGAAATTTGAAAGAGTTTACCAGGGCCCGCATGGACAATATTGTCTTTTTAACAGACCCTTTTCTCTAAAACGCCAAAACTCAATCTGCATCTGTTTGAAAAATCCTTTGGAGCTGAGGCCCTGTAGTTTTGGCCTAATTAAAACTCATTCATTCATTCAGTCATTTTCAAGCCCTTTATTAGTCCATTTCTGGGTCAAGGGGGTGGCAATGAGAGCTGCCACCATATGCTCATAGCACCAGTCCCTCGCTGATCCTCTGCAGGGGGTGAGTCCACAGGAAGATGGCTGCTCTGTCAGTGGTGAACCAGCCTTAGTCTTTCAGCGGGGCTTCAGGCAATGTGGGGTTAAGTGTCTTGCCCAAGGACACAACGACAGTGGACATCAGTGGGAGCAGTTGGAGTAGTTCGATTCCCATGGTGGGAATCGACCTCACGACCTCCAGGCTCAAAGGCCACTGCTCTACCAACTGAGCTACTGTCGCCCCTCATTTACTATTATTTTAAGTGGAAGCAATCTCCACGCAGAAAAAGATCATACGGTAAAGTCTGCCTGAATATTCCATGTAAATATAAGGGATAGAGATTAAAGGATAAATATTGAGAATGTAAAATATAGCTGTTGTTTTAACGATTCCCCTTTTACCTCCAAATCTCTCTAGAAGTCAGATTAATGGACCTGTAATAAAGCAAAAAAATCTAGGCAGAACTCTGGACTATATATATGTGAGTTCATCCCAGAATGTTTGAGGAGTTTAATGGTTATATTTTATCTATTGGTTGACAACAGATTATGAATGTTAGTAAAATCCTGTTGTACCTGCACAGGCACAGCTGTGTAGTTAGGGGTTGTATTAAAAGAAAATGGGTGCAGAAAGATTCCAGTCACCTTTTTAAATGTAACTTCAGTTTTACTTTTGGTTTACTTGTGTCACTTGCATGTGAAACTACCAGGCCAAGTTACAGGTCTGGTTATGACTGTGACATAATACAACACAACAAGAATGTGCCAAAACCACAGAAAGGTTTTATATAGTCCCCCAACCTTTTTCTCTGAAACAACAGAAGGATTCTCCAAACTCTCATATGAAACCTACAAACACAGAGGCGTTTGGAGGCAACGACTCTTTTCTTTAATTTCCAAATTGGCTATTGCCAAATCAACCATTTGGTGAAGTCCTTTGAGATTTATTTGAATATCAACATATCTTCTCCCATACTACTACTTTTGTTGTATATTTTGTGTGCTCCCTGTGTGCTCTTACTACTGTCCTGTCTGTGCGCTGCAACATCAAAATTTCCCCACTGTGGAACGAACAAAGGAACTTATCTTATAAGTCATTTGTTATGATTTGTCCAGATCTCATCCTTGCAGAGCCAGATCCGCTCCCAGGAGAGCGACATGCGCAGCAAGGAGGACGACGTGTCCCGGACCAAAGCCGAGCTGAGTCGACTGCAGGAGGAGGAGGCCCGTCTGGAGCAGAGTCTGCTGTCGGGACGTGTGCAACTGGAGAGCATCGCAAAGTCCATGAAGAGCACCCACGATGAGCTCGGCCAGGTTTGACCTTTTAACAGATATATTTTTGTAATTATACTCAGGAGCTGTATATTACTATTAATTTCTTATCAAGCAATTGTCAGCAATAAGCAACACTCGCATCCAGAGGTAGAAGTGTGAAATGCATTTATAAAGCATAAGACCACAGAGCCAAGGCTATGTCACAGAGCAGCCGTCCTTCTGTGGACTCACCACCTGCAGGAGGATCAGTGAGGGGCTGGTGCTAAGTGTACTGGGTGCAGCTCTGGCCACCCCCCCGACCCAGAAATGGATTAAGGGGATGCAAATGGATGGATGGAAGACCACAGAGTATGTTCAAACACCGCAGTCCATTTGGTGGGATTATCAAACTGGTCTGACGAGTTTTGGTCAGACCGAGTTTTGATCCCGTCTCCGTGTGCCTCGGGTAGACTAGACCAAAACTCGTCAGACCTGCTCCAGACCTGAGGACGCACTTTCAACAACATCTCATTACATTCCCTTTTCACTCAAACTTTAGCATAGTGTGTGTCTGAATGGCTGGAAGGGGATTGGTTTCATCTAATGTGCGTTTTGCTTCATCCAATCCCTTTACAAACCATGTACATGTATTTATTTTACTTTTCAATTCTATTTTTCTGTGAATAATTGTCAGGCACACTGTAAGGAGTGTCTTTTGTTATTCAAGAAATTAATCCAAAACAAATTCGGTAGCAAATGTTTTGATTCTGACATATCGCTTGTTTACAGCTTGAGATGATGCATTTGCAGTAGCATCAAAACAATGAAAGTAAATTATTATATTTAAGTGAAATTTACTAAAAAAGTAAATGTTCTTTCTATTGTTTCTTGAAGACCTCCTAATACTGTTTAGAAATTGGGGACTACATGAAGAATAGCCAATTGAATGTGTTCAAAGACCTCATAGATCTACGCATACAGCAGTCGGACACCAATAATAGTTTGTTGGAAGGTCTGATTCATTTAGTTTTTTCCCTCCCCCGCACAAATCCTGTAAACTCTGTCAATATCATCAGAACCCTATTAGTACTTCCCATCACTGTTTACTTTACTTCTAATTGTGCAGAGTTTCTGTGGCTAAAACTAGCAGCAAAAGCCTGGATAGATTTGTGCCAAGAAGTTGGAGTTGAGTGACCATCTGTCCTTTGGCTTTTTCCAGGCGCGTAGCAAACTGTCCATGATCCAGGAAAACCAAAAGGAGGTGTCAAAGACCATAGAGCAGTACAACAGCGCACTGAAGGAGCTCAACGGCGGAAACTACAGAGACTTCGAGGACGTCAGGACGGAAGGATACGGCGAGAAGGAAAACCGAGCGTTTGGGAGTGCGCTGGTGAGTGAAGGTGGCACATGTGTATCCTGTCATAGTCGGTCACTGTAATAAGCACTTTTTATGCTGCGTCTAATGTCCATAAAAGCAGGTGCACTCCTCACGTCATTGTATTTTAGATTTCAGTTTCGGCCGATCAATGACTATTTATAATAACACAATTCAAAATCCAAAGCATTCAGAATACAGCACTACTATTAATACTGTTTTTTGTTTTATTACAATGAAACAAGTTTAAACAATTAAACAGCAACAACATGCATAACAAACAACAAAAGGATAAACAAACAAAACAAATTTAAACCACACACACACACAGAGAAGAAAAAACACACACACACACACAAAGAAGAAAAAACATACACACACACACAAAGAAGAAAAAACACACACACAGAAGAAAAAACACACAGAGAAAAACAAACACATGTAAATAGCATTTCAGGTAGCACTAGTATTGTAGTTGTATTGCTATCACACATCTATGGTATGTTTGTTTTTGCGTTTTGTCTTTTTGTTTAGTTTTTGTCTGCACTACCTTAAATTAATAAGTAAATAAACAACGCACATTCAAACCGCATACATACCTCTCTGCACAACCAGCAATTGTTTATTTGGAGATACTTGTCCAGTGTTGGTGAGAATGCTTTGCAAATGTATTTAATTATACAAAATTGAATATTAATATATGATGCAAAGTGACATATGCCAAGTCTTAGTTTGTTAATGATGTTGATGATTTTGGCTTGTAGTATCTCACTCCATTAGTTTAACATTGTATGTTGAATTACACTTAAACGCGGCTTTTGATTCTCTTGAGTTTCTATATTCTTCACTGAATGAATTGACCATTGTTTTCTCCAAACAGAATAGCTCTTTGAAATCCAGGATAGCCATGTTCAACAGCAGCAGCACTAGCACCAGCATCAGCCCCGCGAAGGACCCTCCACCCGATCCCTTCCAGACAGAGGACCCCTTCAAGTCCAGCCTCTTAGACAGTACGTGCTATTTACCCTCTGCCCTGGCCACTACTGCTGAATAATCCCCTACTTCTCTGACTAAGCATTTCCCCAAGCCATGAGTCTTCCCAGTTATTATGAATGGAAATGCTTGTTGTCACTTTCCAGTCCGTTTGCATTTATACGACGGAACAGTACAATAAAGAGAGGATTATTTGGTTTTAAGGTCCTAAGACGATTCCAGGACACGTCTCGAGCTGCTCACGTGTAAATACACACTGTCGTCTCTGTCCTTTTTATTTTTATTTTTTTTTAGACCCATTTGGCGGCGATCCGTTCAAAGAAAGTTATTCCTTCAAAGGCACAGCTTCAGAAGACTTCTTTAAGAGGCCGATTAAATCCGACCCCTTTGTATCGGCCGACCCCTTCGGTCGAAAGCCCACGCCGCCAGCCAAGGTACTGCTAAGCCTCTGAACATCAGTGGAAACGCAGATTCATATATTTATAAAACACGTCTTTTTTCTTCATTTGTCTCATTAGAAAAGGACACAAATACTATTCAGATGGAAGAATATATACATATATATACATACAGTATATGTATAAATAAATATAATTTCACACATAAATATATTTGTGCTGGCAAACAATTAAAATAGTTAACTTGTGATTAATTGCAATTCAAGTTTGAAAAGGGAATAAATATAAAATAGATTATATTAATCCAATCCCCTCCAAAAAGAAAGTATTTGGATCACTAGTATTGGCTACTCAATCTCTGCTTGAATTGTCAAACAAAGGCTAGTCTTTTGTTAATAATACCGTGTATATTACTATCACCGCAGTGGAAATAACTGTAGCTTCAGTGTTTGGTCTGGAGATAGTAATGATTACTGATGAACGTAATCAGTAAGTAAGTAATCATCAGTGAGCACAACCACCATCATTCTGGGGCGCCTGTAGTCGGCAGTGGGGCTGTTTTCAGGTGCGTGCCCGTGGTAGAAGCCTGGCGCAGCACAAGCACCCTGACATGGCCAGGCGCTAGTCCGCCCAGTCAGATAAAATAATTGATGCCTTTAAAATGGCTTTGGGTCAACGTTGTTTTTAACCCGTTTAACTGACAGCACTTTATATACTTCTTGGTTTCCCTGTTTTATTATATCTTGCGGAGATAAAAGGTGGCTCTAATGAGGCGTTTGGTAGATGACCCTTCTTATTTAATTACCTCACATCAATTACCTACAAGAACAAAGTAGATTTGCATTACATAAACCGTTACAGCTTTCAGGACAGCATTATCAGCAGTAGTAAGCAAATGCTAATACGCTTCTGTTTTGTTGTAAATAGGATCTTTTCAATAGCTTGTGTTTACACATATGTTGTATGCTCTTTCAGCCCAGTGCCTTCAGCAGCAGCAGCAGTGACCCTTTCAGATCAAACAGCCTCAGAGCAAAAGACTCAGGTATTCCTCTGTCAAAGCTTCATGATAATCCATTGTCCCAACTGAAAGAAGTAAAATACAATTGTGTCAAACGACAAATCAGACCACAACATATTATCTTGACCTTACATAAAAACGTTACCTTTCGCATACTTCTAAGAAAGAGCCCTGAGAGTCACTGTTTGACTCGTTGTTCCGGGTGGGGGTGGTCTTAAAAAGCTACAGATGTGACAAGGGCCAAATATACATGAATGTGAAAACTGGTGATAGAACTGAGGATTTTATCACGTCGTTAATTTTGTGTGGTTTGAAGCTTTATATTTGGGTCCAATTAGAAAATTTTCACAGACATTGATAACTTTTTGTATAGCCCTAAATCACAACAGCAGTAATCTCGATGGACTTTACAAAGTTGTCGAAACACATAGAAACCCCCATTGGTCCACAGGGGGCTGATGACCAATGCCCATAAATGTTACACAATGTGCATAAATGTCCCAGATCCTCACTGTCCTTAGACGCTCCTGCATCAGCGAGAATGGACTCGATAAAAACTAAACTAAAAAAATGGAGAAACCTCTGAGAAGCCTCCATTGAGAGAGGGATCCGATCCCACAGATAGACAGGCTGTAGAACGAGGACTGACCCTGTGCAGTCTAGGAATGATTAGACTCCCAGGCCTGATCATTTATTTTTCAGCGTTATATTTTAAAATATAAATGTTGTATGGTTGTATAGAAGCAGATAAATTGTTACATAAGCCTCCCTATTTACAAGACTGGTAACTGTATACTCTTTTGTGTTGCAGTAGGTTCAGTTAAGGTCTTGTTCTAGACAGAAAAAAAGCGTTTCCCTTTTTTTATATGCTATTAAGTCACCGTTGCACTAAATATAAGCCGTATTAAATTTCCCAGGTTGTGACTATAGTATTTCTCTGAAGGTGAGGGAACAGTTAGTTGCGCAGCGTTTCTCAAAGAGCTTTTTATTGCAGCCCTGGTGACGTCTTGGATCTTAATTATAATTTGGGGGCATGAGGGGCAAGCAATTTTTAACTTTCTGTGGCTTCATTTTTTCCTGTGGTTTAAAGAGCTATTTTTAGGCCCAGAACCTACGCATTTAAACAAACTAAAAATACCCCACCCCCCACCACCAATGCCACTCTTTTCGGAAAAAAACTGGAGAGGTGCTGGAGCCAAGCATAACAGAGTGTGTGTGTGTGTTAGTGTGGGGCTTGTACAAGACTCCAAGTATATATTTAACTTGTTCACTTCTGTAACCATTAAATCATGAAACGAATAGGGCTGCACGGGTTTGGCAAAATATCTAGATGCGTTATTTTAGACCAACAATGTGATTTCTGATAACCTGTTTGTTGAATGGGAAGTAATGCTTCTACTCGACAACAAGAGAAAAGATACTGGTTACATTGACAAGCATTGAACAACAGAATAATTTGTATTTTTCACACTATTAGGCGCACGTGATTATGAGGCGCATTATCAAATTATGCCTTTATTTTCATATATAAGGTCCACCGGATTATAAGGCACGCTGTTGAAATTAAAGGCTTTTATGTGCGCCTTTTAGTGCAAAGAATATGGTATTTTTGTTGCCGACTTTTTGTTTTGTTATATGAAACTAATGAAAACTGTGATTTGCAATTAATCAACCAGCCCGAGTTGCAAATGCCATACCTTTTTAGCCACATGAATCTACAATAATGACCTGTAGTAACTTTTGAATTGTCTGTTTTTTCATTAGCCGAGAAACAAAGCTAGTATCTTAGTCAACAAGCGAAGCAATGGTTATAAATAATGTTGCATTGGAATTAAGAATATAAAATGTATATGCGTTGGAGTGGAGCAGGGAGTTACGGAGGACTATTGTACATGTTTTTAGTTGTGAGGCAAGCACCCGGAGCACCCAGAGGATACCTATGCAAAGTCTAAATTACAAGGAATCATAAAATTGACTGATACTTCTCTACACCTGTTGTAAAGCAGGTCTCTGTCAGGGCCGTAGTTATATACACCAAATAAGGGATTTTCAGTTCCTCTTATTCAGATCAGCACAAAGGTTTGAGTAAGTGTAATTTTAGTTTTGATTTTATTATGTTTATCATTTTCCAGTATGGGACCCGCAGGTGCCCTCAGACTTGAATTGGACTTACAAGTACTGAATATTAGTACTCACACACTCTCGCACACACAGGACAACAAAGAACGGCAAAATGAAATGTGTGTATACGTATAATCTTTACTTGGATGTAAAAAAATGTTGACATTTGTGCTTTACGTCGTGTTGACACAGCGCAAGATGAATATTAAAACAATATTATTATTACTTTTATTATATTAACAGTAAGCAGTGAGAATTCTTTTTAATGCTCTTAAATTTTTTTAATTTCACACCATCAACATTGAGATGAAACTGGACTAAAAATGTTACGTCAGCTGAACCAAGCCAAACTTCCATTAGGACTCAAACTAAAAGATTTTAAAAACATGAACTGGATCGTGAACTGTGAAAGACCTTGATTATGACCGGAGTAGGATTCCCGCGCACCTGAGCCTCTGACCTCTTGCATTCATGGAGAGAGGAAGTTGTTTTTAAGCAGAATTATCGCCGCACACCTCCATCGCCGGCACGTATAGGGGCCGACTGTAGCCGCGTGCGTACAAGAAAAACAGCCGTGAATGGTCTCTTTTGTGGCGGCACATTCTCAACAAACATATTCTGTTACAATGTTTTGTTTTTCCACTGTAGCCGTTGCACCATTTCTTCATTAACTCTGGTGCATACCGGGGCCGCTTCAAAACAGCAGAGCCACAGAGCCGCTATACAGGCCACCAAACGACACCTTTAATTAGCTGATTGGCTGCGTACGTCACTCGCGCCAAGACCCCTACACCGTCTGAAAGTCCATGGAAAGTAAAATGGGCACGCCACTTTGCCATGACTGAAAAATAGTTTGAGTTACAGAGGCCTGCTTCATTGGATTATTATAATTTTTTGTTTTTTTTACAAGATTGTTCCAAAAACACATTCAAATGTTCCCAACTCACTGCTGTTTTTGTCGTGTCTTTTGTCCCAGATGTGTTTGCGACGATGGACCCCTTTGCCGGCAGTGGTTTTGGAACTAAACCAGGATTCGCAGATTTTAGTCAAATGGGAAAGGTAAGCTCCAGGCACAGATAGTACAACAGGACTTTGGGTTACTCTTTCAAATCTCAGCCTAAAAGATGTTTGACGCAATTAAAAGCATACTGTATTTTGTAAAGAAACAGCCTGGAAGTTGTTTTTAGATCCATCTAATATAAGAAACTTCTGGCACAAACGTGTAACTCTGCCCGTTCTGTCTTAAAGCTCCCTTGTCAGTCCTGTGATAGTATGATGTCATTGTACCACTATGACATCACGCTCATCGTCTGCCTTTTTAAAACAAAAGTATTGCCTATAAATTAGTTTTGGCATTTTCTCATGTGGAATGGTGTTCTTTTTTTTTATCACAATCACATGGCTGCGTTTGTAATTATAGAACTTGGATGAAAAATAAATAAATTAACAAATTCAGCTCCTCCCTCTGGTGGTAGCATAAGGAGTTACAGGCGGAAAGCATACGATACCCTTCATACATGTTTCATCATATATTTTCTTCTGAAGATATTATTTCATATTCAGATATTATAGGGCGACAGTAGCTCAGTTGGTAGAGCATTGGCCTTAAGCCCAGAAGGTCGTGGGTTCAATTCCCACCTCTGCACCTTCTCCACCGACTCCCACTGATGACTGCTGTCGTTGTGTCCTTGGGCAAGACACTTAACCCCACTTTGCCCAAAGCCCCCACTGAAAGATCAAGGCTATGCTCACACTCAGAGAGCAGCCGTCCTCCTGTGGACTCACCACCTGCAGAGGGTCAGTGAGGGGCTGGTGCTATGAGACTTGGGTGGCATCTCTGATTGCCACCCCCCTGACCCAGAAATGGATTAAAGGGTAGAAAATGGATGGATGGATGGATGGATATTATTTCACATTCTTTCAATTTGAATGTCTAATAAAAATGATTAAGATATCCTTTATTTGTCCCACAGTGGGGAAATTTCAGTGTTGCATCACAAGTGACAGACAGCACAAGATATAGAATCAGAATCAGAATCAGAATCATTTTTATTGCCAACGTAAGTAACGGGAGGTCACAGACTTGGAAATTGCTTTGGCTCAGTGCAACAGTCAAAAAGAGATAATAAAAATAAGAATAAAAAACACTTCTAAAGAATAAATTTAAATTTAAAATAGAGTTACAGTTATTATTTACAATATACAAGTGCACATGGTGCACACAATGTAAGGTGACAGCAGTACAGTGAAGTAAAGTGACGTATGATGGGCAGTAAAGTGACTTTATAGGAATAATAACTCTATACAAAAATAACATAAAATTAACTCTAGCATAATAAGAAGCAGTATAAAATCTCTATCTTAATGCGTAATATTTATTATTTAAATCACACTTATTGTAATAAAGTGTGAATGTAAATGTAATGGTTTTTTTTCTTTTCTTTTTTTAAACGGAAGCCTGAAAATCCATTGGCTCCTAGGAAGTCTGCTCCCAGTCGCCCCGCGCCCCCCTACGGTACGTGTCTCTTAACTCTTGTGTGATTGTGGCTTGTGTGGTGTCTTTGCTTTTATTTAAGGCACCGTTCTTTTAATAAGGACTAGACTTTATTTGCTCCCAGCTCGTCTGAAATAGATCACAAAATAATCTTCTTAGGTGCTTATTTTTAATTGACTGTTATTCTACCAAAGTTATTTCAGGGCCCGGGGAGTTCATCTCAGAAAAGTGCAGCTTCCCTTTTGTGCATTGAGGGTGAAAAAAAAAAAAAAAGAGAGAGTTGTTTCTTCTTTTGAACTTGTAAACAGGAAAGCAGTTGGTAGAGATGCAGTGCAACGGCAAGTTCAAAGTGTTGTGACCTTAAAGCAGGCATCGCAACGAGAAAAAACGACTTCTAAAACACAGGAACGAGCCAGTGGAGCAGGGCTAAAGATAAACTTGGGACGAGGATGTTTGCCAATCATACAGGAGAACACAACACAGGCCCATACTCACCATGCAGTCTCAAACCAAAGCTGGAAAAAAACACAGTAATTTATTGTAAAAGAAAATATTATTATTGTAGAAAAATAAAAATAAAAAATCCTTGTACAGCTGCAAAGAACAAATTTAAATGATCAAAAATGGAAAATATGTTTGGAAGACGATTCAGCTAATGCTAATACAACTCTTCATCTATTGTAAAGAAGCAGAATGGAAAGGTCATTGTTTGATAGTGACTAGATTCACAAACTTGCCAAATTTTCCTTATGTCTGAAAGTCCTTTCTACTGACCAACATCATTCATATGTTTTTCAATCTATTATTTATTTCAAATGTGGGTACATGGTCACATGAAATAATGGGATGCCAAATTAGCAAAAAATAAACAGAAAAACAGTTTGAAAGGGGATTGGAAGAAGCAGACTTATTTTATTCCAATCCTTCTCACTCTCTCACTCACCCTCTCACACAACAGAACACACAGACATACACACACATACAAAACATAGACAAACAACAAACACATATTTAACATAGTATCGTGCATTTCTTCATTACTTCTTTTGTGAACTGTTTTGTAAATGTTTCCAGTTTTGCACATGTGACAGTAATGGCACGGTTTGTGTTTCATGTGGATTGTTCTAGGAGTATTTGGCTCAAAATGAAGTCTAGAAATATGGCTTTTGGTAGTTACCATAATTACCAGAGACAATTTTGAGCTGCCTATAGCAAGGTCTATATAAGCTCTTTGTAATGCTGTGATGTCACATGAACACAACATATTAAAGCAAACATTTAAAACTTTGCATCTCTGTCATAAAAAACAGTTTTAAAACAGAAGGTTTTAATGTGATACAATAAAGAAAAACCCTGCACAATTTCCCTAAGCACAGATGTTTCCTTGCACCTACTTATGAGTTTTAGAGTTTTGAAATTCACCCGTTACTATTCTTAAACCTCAGCTCCTCTCTTGAGCCAGAGTGGATCTTGTTGCTGCTGTGCACTTGCCCCTGGCCCCACCCATGGGCCCTGCCACCCGGTGCCCTTCCGGTGTGACCTGCTCTGTAAGCAGAAGCCACAGCGTGAGAAAGTTGTGTTCCCCTCCGCACTGCCACTCTGAGGTCGAGGTTTACCATCAGCCACTGGGCCACAGCCAGCTCAGGGGGAAGTGAGAGACACCAGGGCCAGGCGCAATCTCCTGTTAACCTGTCACGTGGGATACAAGCTTTCAAAGATGATCAGATGCAGAACGGTTATAAATGGAGACGGGCGTTTGATTTTGAGATAAAGGGGCAACGACTGTATATAGATGGACAATGCTAAACGCCTAGCTCAATGAAGCCCAATAGGGACGTGCTCATGGACGACATTTTTCTCCAACTGTCTTTAGGTTGCCTAATTATCTGGAGGCCACCTACGCTGACACGGGGAGAACATGCAAGCTCCACTCAAAGGCTCTGTTGTTGTGGGAGCTATTATTGATATCAAAGCTAACACTACACATTACAGCACATTAGTTAGTGTAGTGATAGTTTAATATCTAATCCATTGTTGTGATTCAAACTCAAAAGTAAGAGAGTAGTACTGTATTTATGGAGCAGCTTGTATCTTTTCACAACATTCACCAGATCACGTCCCATGAACACCTCTGTGTCTGATGGTCCTGAACCAGAGCTGTGTTCTGGGTGTGGCGGCCTGTTCACGGCGACGTGCGACAGTGCGCTGCTCTGCTTGAGAGCTTGTTACTCTAAATGTGGTTAACACCTCAGTTTGACCAATATCTCGTTCCCATGGGCGCTCGGCACACCCTACGCTCGTGCTGGCTTCCGGTGCAAATTTAGCACACGCAGTAATACACACAAGCTCATTATACGGCAAAGCATTTTCCCGTGAGATTGAAAAGGCCACAGATCAGACATGAGGCAGTTTAATGGATTTGGTATCATAGGGTATTCCCAAGGTTTAAAATCTCCAGGCTGTTCACTTAATTAGGACTATTGTAGCTGTCATTTATGGGTAGGTATGAAAATCTATTCTATTCTATTGCGGCTTAGAATTTTAAGAAAAGTCCAGTTGTGTATATATGCCCACCCACATTCATGTAGTACAACATACTGCAAACATGTTTTTAATTCTAAAATGCTGCAATAAGATAACATTTACAAAATAATTAGCTGGAAATCAATATATGAAGACCTCTGATACTAAGCAGGACAGGGCCTGGTTAGTACTTGTGATGGGAGACCTCTGGGGAACACCAGGTGCCACAGTGGGACGGCTGTAAAGTGCCAAACTGTTGTGTCATTAGGCAAGACACTTTGCCTTTGCCACACCCACATTGTCGAGTCTGGTGTGTGATCTTTAGATCTAGCTAATCGTCTCTCAGTGTGTAGGAGAGAAAAAGTTTTCTAATGAAATAAAGACAACATGTTGTGGTCTGATTTGTTCATAAAATTGTCATAAAATGTTACTACAACAAGACTCACTAAAAAATAATTCATGGCTTTTAAACAGAGCTTTTGAGGACACTCAAAAATACTTCAAGTCTTCAATTATTCATTCACTCCATAAGCTGCTGGTGATAAACTATTAATGTAGCCACAGCTGCCTTGGGGATGACTGACAGAAGTGAGGCTACCAGTATGTGCCATCGGCTCTTCCAACCACAAACACACTCATTCTAGGCAATGTAGGTGAAGTGCATTGGCAAAGCACAGCGAGAGCTTGGCACATTATAGTTGCAGCCGCCCCACTGTGTCACCTGGTGTTTCCAGAGGTCTACCATCACACTACTAACCAGGCCTTGCTCTGCTTGGCTTTAGAGGTTTGACAGGATCTTGCTTTCACATGCAAGTGGTGCTGCTATCTGTTGTCACAAACACAATGTATTCATAAAACAAAATTGGTACTCCAGCTTGAACTCAGAATATCACACTTTCTACATTCCCACAAACTTTTCTCTACATTTGTTGTATGTGATTGGTTTCACTAGTTCTGTCTCTAATACAGTTTCAGAGCTCCAACTTGTGTCTGTTGAATGTCAAATGCAATGCCAAATGGGTCAAGTTCTGGGTCAAAAATCCTTGCCGTTAAATAAGAATACCTTCCTTCTCCGTTAGGTTCGTTCAGTGTTCAGCAGAGCGCCCCACATTCCGGTCACGTTTCCAAAGAGGGGGCACAGTTTGTAAGTGCAGCGCGCCACAGTGTTGCCCGCGCATGAGCTGCTGACTTCATGATGTCGTAAAAGCTTCAATGTCGTGTCCGTCGCTGAGCGCAGCTTTCACTACAGTAACACAGCTCAAGTCAAAACTGGTGGAAGGGACCCATAGTAAAAGATGATACATGTGTTCTCGTAGCCAGTCAAAAGAGTAAAAGTGAAAGTGAAAACATGTTTAGTTCAGAGTGTTCCTACTCCTGCTACTTATGCAGTACCATTACGGGGGGCGGGGGATAATATAAGATTCCATAAACCTTCTGAGAGATTTGAATTTAAAACTACACCAAAGCTTAAAACGTTTTTTTTTTTTTTTTACCTATTTCTTCATTTTAAAAAGTCAATTGGGGAAAAACTCATGCTCTCATATTTCACACTTTCATTTAAATTGTGCAGTTCTTCAAATGGCCAGCAGATGCCAATCATTTCTATTGTTTTTAGTGCATCAACGACACTGAGGCTGGTGTTTAAAAGTATTCCTGTGATCATTGAGGTTTCAAATTTGTCTTAGATTTTCTTCTCATCGGGACTGACACACCAAAAACCGAAAAGCATTATGGGAGTTGTGCAAGCAGCCAGCAATTTTGGATGTCTTAAGATATAATAAGCACACTAGTTCCAAATTAAATTACTACTTACTCCAATCACATTCTTATTTCTCCTTCTGATTGTGTTAAACCACTTTTGGAGGTAAGTTTTAGAAGCAAACATAAGTAACAAAGCAAAAAATATGAATGCAGAATTGCATAGAAATGTAGTTTAAAGGGGCATTACTCAACTTTTTGAGTTGATGTCTGATAGCTGCTTCTTGCAATAGATACAGTTATTACTTTGCTTGATACGTCAGTGTGCTTTCAAACATGTACATTCCTCAATTATGAAAGCTTGAAGTGTGAAGACTCTTTTCTGCAGATGTAACTTAGCTGCTTGTTAAAACCTCCAGGCAAAACGACAAGATTAAGATGAACCCAATCCAAAAGCAAGTCTACCACCACGACTGCACCTTTTATTATTGCCAAAATGTTCAATAGTATTGTTTAGCCTTTTTATGATTCTAATTAGGATTGATACATTACTGTAGAATACAAAAGCCTATACTTGGAATCAATACTTGTGCGTCCCGGTCACCAGTCCACGCCGCTGCTTTGCGTCCGTGTGTCGCTCTTTCTCAGTGAAATAGCAGTTTGCATGACTTCGCCATAGCTCCTGTCTCTTTTCTGGAATGGGTCTTGCATGCTTCCTGTTGTCTCGCCTCATTTAGGAACCAGGATTAGGCTCCGCAGTCGCTGAACCTGCCCCGTCAGGTATCACTCCGGGAGCATTTTTCCAGGTCTTCCATGTTATTGAAGATACTTAGGCTTCTGTCAAACTGGGATATGCCCAGAAGCAGCCCTCGGCCTGCTTAAATCCCCGTTTAGTCTGGCATGTTCTAACCGCGAGTGGAGTGGATGTTTTGCATGGCATCGTTTTGTCTTTTTGTGCCGTTCGACTTTTGAGTTTATGTGAAACGTGTGCCAGCATTGTGCAAACGGCGGAGTTATGCCTTTTCATATGTAGCTCTTCTGTTGTAATTCTTGTGTCTCTGCCAGGACCCGAGCCAGTCAAGGTAAGACCGTTCAAAGGGGTGTGGTGTGGTCCACTTGTAAATCCTTTGCATGTGAACAAACGTCTGCACTCCATAATATGAAGACTATGAATCATGAGCACCAATGTTTTCAATATGTCAGTCCTGAAAACCCTTTTCAATGCAATCCAATGCTATCACAAGTCAATGGATCACAGAATAATCCAGGCAAATGAAAGAACATCACTTTTAAATTAATCCTTAATGTTTCTTTCTCATGCTAAAGAGACATCATTGTTCAGAAAACCTCCTTTTACCCATTAGCGTATAGCCTGGCCAGACATGCAACATTTACAATGATTTATAGGCAACTGCAGGATGGCTCTCATCACTCGCACAGACCTTCAGCTGTATATTTGCCTGTGATAGATTTCAGGTGGGGATCCGTTATCTACGCCCTTTCTATATATATATATATATATATATATATATATATATATATATATAAATACATACAGTATATTGCATTATTAAATTATCATTAAAAGTTGTCTCCAGTACAGTTATCTTTTTGTTAGAACATGTGCACTCAAGGTGTTTCTCAAACTGGGAGCCTTCGGACATTAAAACATTGGGTTCAGCCCCATATGATAATGTAATTCAAAGTTGTACAAGTCTCCTTTTTTTGTAGTTGTAATATATTGGGCAAAAAGAAAATGGGTAGAAAAGAGGACATTTAATGACACTAAACAGTTTTCAGATACATACAGAGAGAACAGGGCGGCACGGTGGCTGAGTGGATAGCACTCTCGCCTCTCAGCAATAAGGTCCTGGGTTCAAATCCCGGTTGGACCAGGGCCTTTCTGAGTGGAGTTTGCATGTTCTCCCCGTGTCTGCGTAGGTTTCCTCCGGGTGCTCCGGTTTCCCCTACCACTAAAAATATGTACAATAGGTCTGGTATGTGCCTCCTGTACTGGCGACCCCCACTCCCAAAAAATAACAATTGTAAACCGCTTTGAGACTCCGATGTGCAGTGAAAAGGCGGTATATAAATAAAGATTACTTACTTACTGACTAACAGAAAATGAACCATAAATACACACAAGTATGCACTTGGACATAACTGATGTATATGTCCAAGTAGCATATACTGTATTATTACAGCAGTATACATTTACAATTTTGAGGCTCAACCATTTTTGCCCACAAATGTACAGCAGCAGAGTTCAATGGACCACCTCCACAGATCTGACCTGGAACCTGATAATAACATAAAACATATCCATCTCCATGTGCAATATTCCTAAGTGTGGGTTTTTTGTTTTTTTTCCATGGAATCATATATTAGTGCTGTACCAACTCCATAATACGGTCCCAAGCTGTTGCTTTAGTGTTTGTGTTTAGCTGGCCAGGCTAGGTCATTTCACCGCAATCACAGAATCAACACAAATGTCCCCAAAGAATCGCTCTGCCTGGTTCTTGCACATATCAAAAAATCATTCTGATATGTTCACCGCCATCACTTCTAAATCTTAAAATCAGATCTTTTTCCCCCCCTTTCTTTGCCCATCCGTCATAACACGTCGATCGAGTCGCTTTAATGCAGTTTATTTAGCGTCTTTTCTCCCTCTTTCAGTTTGGAAATGAAAGCGCTCAGCTGGAGTGGGCCAAGCGTGAGAGCGAGCGCGAGGAGCAGGAGAGACTGAGGAGACTGAGACTTCAGGAGCAGCAAGACCTGGAACTGGCTCTGGCTTTGAGCAGAGCCGACATTCCCGCCGTGCAAAGATCCTGACTTCTCCTTCTCCCAAACCCCCTTCTCCAAAAAACCCCACAGACACGGCTCCGCATAACCATCGGCCCTGTTACCAATTTGTGCAAAAGACCAGTGTTTTCTCCAGCCATGCCACCAGACTGATGTCAAACCTCTCCACTTTTAGCTACTCGTTAAGCTTCATTGCTCCCCAAAGTACATGGTAACCGTAATCAAAGACAATATGGAGCCGACTGATTGAAAAGCTGCCTTCAAAAACACTGGGATTTAAACGTAACCCCACCTACAGCAAACTCCATCTGAGACTACACTGGATCGCCTTAATGCTTCGTCTGAAAAATCGTGACTGTTGTGCAAAAAGTCTTGGGAAGGAATGAGTGAAATTGTTTGTAGAAATATGTTTTAAGCAAGAATTGGATAATGCATTATTGTCAGACTGCAGATACAGGTCCAAAATGTGTCTTACATACACAACAGTAGCATTAATAACAACATGATTTTAACTTTTGGTTTCTTCCATACTAGATGGAAGATAGCGATGTTGTTAGCATGACCTATTTCGACAGCATACTGTATTTCTGTCTTCCTCAGAAGCTTCACACAGAAAAACCAAATAACTTGATCTACTAAGCAGACCAGATGATCTTTCCTACACCAAATAATTGTTGTGGTCTTGTGACTATTGTGTATATTTATTAAAGGGACCATATGTAATATTTCATTTTAAATTGCATCACAGGTCACATGTAAAAATCATATTTTAACTTTTCTTAACAGTTTAAAGTAGAGTTATTCCTAATTAGAAATACATTGAGCATGATGTTCTTGATATTTATGTTTGCGATTATGAAGCAGATTATCCAATCAGAGAGCAGAATGATTCTCTTATTTGGGTAGGAGCCAAAACCAGCTAGAAAATAAACGCAAAAAATGGCACCACACATTGGTTTACAGTAAAGTCGATACCGATTTAAGTAGTCATACACAACAGAGTTTTCAGTTTCTTGCTAAAATCCAGTAGGTGGATTGCATTAGTATTCAATGCTCAAAAGCCACAAGTTGGATTGTAATTGTAATTACATACAAATAACACATTCATTTCTAATTGATTCACAAAGTGTGGGAACCCCGTCATAGACTGACCAGCATCCAAATAGTAACAATGGAGATTTAGATTCATTTTATTTGTCATTTGCAGTAAAAGCCCATTGGCATACATGTGCGAAAGTCCCCCCAGTGCGCACAAGACAAACCTATAAAATAACACTAGCTAAAAAAGTACAAGACACGAACGTCGCTGCGATGTTTTGTGGTTCTATGCCTGACACGTGCTTCTGTCCCTGAGAACAAAGGGCATTGGGAATCCCTTTGAAATGTTAGTTATTTGTTACTAGGATTAAAGTATTTATTATAATCATTCCTTTTAGTTGAGTCCTCTGCTTTGCTTGTGACGCCCATCTGCCTTCAACTTTTAGATTCGATCAGCGAGAAGCAAAGTCGTTCATTCTTTGCGTCTTGCACCTGACGACCCAGGGATTAAATTTTCTCATTTTATTTTATTTTATCAATAACAAGCTTAGATCAACTTGTGGCTGATTTGCAGGTTTTTTTCTGTATGGTTTAATCAGGCAGATTGATCACATGACATTAGCGCTGTTACACAATGTATTTTATTTATCGATATTTATAATGCTTGACTGTAAGGATGTACTTCTAGATCTTAATCTGAATAAAATAAAATAAATACTGTAAAATCTATGACTCAGCGAATGAATCAATGGTAACAATAGATTTCAGTTCAACAGGTATGACATTACAATGTACAGTAAGAAGGTTATTTTGTGTTTTTATTATCAACACTTTTTTTTGCTTTTGAATTATATTAATAGTAACAAAGTTTTCAGTGTAAATAAATTGAATGTTTTAAAATGTAGTATCCATAAATTCAATGTTTTAAAAATTATTGTCAAAATATTCAATGTTTTGAAATTCAGTATCAAAATATTCAATGTTTTTAAATTCAGTGTTCAAAAATTCTATGTTGAAAAAAATTCAGTGTCCAAAAATGTGTTGCATTTTTTTTCGCTGGTTAAAATTTTATGCTTGATTTCTGGGTAAATCAAGACATAAGCAATCGATCAGCCAATCCTCCATAGATGTAGCCGGGGCCAAAATAGGACTTTGGCTTTATCCGAGTGTCTGTAGAACCAGTCATAATTTTTGTTGGTCCATTTCTTTGCCTGGAACCACCGCTGAAAGAGTGTCTTGGCCAGGGACACGACAACAGCAGACTTCAGTGGGACCAAGAGCAGCAACATCTGGAGGTGGTTCCTATGGTGACCACTGCTCCAGATAGATGGCCTATAGTGGTATTGCAGGATGTACCTACCCTGAGTGGTGTGTTTTTAAAAATGTACCTTGTGAAACGTTATGTGCAAGTTCTGCATTAGTGAAATGAAAACGCTATTTACATCAAGTGCTGAAGATACTATTAGTGTTTTGTATTCTTCCTTATTTTGGACCTACTTGAGGTAAAGGCTTGTGGCAGCGGCAATAGAGAACTCCAAATATAGAACTTACTGATAAGCCGCTACTTTTTTTTTTCAAGTTCTTTAAACCCTGCGCCCTGTGGAGATGCAGCCACTGTTTATATTTATATTTTGTTAGAGTGCTCCCTGAGGGTTTTTTGTATTAATCTTGATACATCATTTTGACTCCATCAACTCTTAATAGATTGGATTTACAACAGTGCATTAAAACACCTCATCATTAAATCATGTTGTGTCCAGTTAACAACAATCGTCTTTGTTTTGCTCCATCAGCTGTTGATTAAGTCATGCATTACAGCATGAAAACCTACAGTTTTTGTTCAAATGTGGTCTTTAGGTGGAGAAAACTGATGGACTATTAAGCACCTACATTAATAAGTCAAAGTACTGTGCTCCTGTACCTCAACTTAAAATGTGAGACTAATGTATGACTCTTTCAAAGTTAAATATATCAAGCTTTTACTTCCCCAAAGTCCCCAAATAAACTCTCTCAGAAAATAGAATATTTAGTAAATGGACTGTAAAACATAATCATCAACATACGAATCTGTATCATGTTGGTTTCACATACATTGAATAAATAAAAAATGATGAACTGTTGAACGATATTCTGAATTTCTGGGTTTCACCTGAATTTTAATGATATCACGTGATCATGTGCATGTAGCTGTTAAAATGATGTATTGCTTTTCTGTTTTATTGTTCTGATTGTCTTGTGATCATGAGCAATAAAGAATTAAATTGAAGAAAATACATCGCTGCTGGACTAAAATGAGCCAAATTTTCAGTTTTCTAATCTCAATATGAATGATAACATGCATTTTCCTCTTGACACCAAAGCGTTAGTGATTATAAAGCCAACAATAAAGACATCAACATAGAAAAAACAGCATGAAGTGAGCGGAAAGTTTCTCTGGAGAGGCAGAACTAAACCTGTTCGCTGCTTTACATTGATCCTGGGACGACGTGACATCACTGAAACTGGAACGTTCACTTTTCAGACTTTAAGCTCCCACAGGCTTCAGGTGAGTCTTCTCTCTTCACAATGGCGTTGTACTGTCAGTGCTATTACAACTTTTCTTTTACCTTTATTCTTAATCATTTTACTACCACCATTACTGTTCATTTTGCCATAGGAAATAAATATGTATTCACAATGATTGCATTATATTGACTTTGACTTAGGATGATGTAAACCTGTTTGAGCCCAGTATAGTCCTGGTGTGAACTGGTTTAATGCCAAAATCTAGCTCTGGCTCTGTTCCCAGTTTAGTCATAATATTGGTGTCCACTTTATTCTTAGCACAGATATTTCAATATCCTGCATGCCAGCTGAAACACAGCCTCTAGCCTCATCAGAGGAGTGTCTCAGTACCTGCTACACATGGATAAATCTCTTGACCATCAGACTTGGTTCGGTTTTATTGCAGCCCCTGCCGTTACAATATACATTATATGAGTGATGTTTTAATATTCATGAATGCCATGTGGCGCTGATATCCTCGTCCATGGTGGTTTGCAGTGACACCACACAGAGCAGCACAGACAGCTCGGCTTTGAAACTCCAGTATAATTGTAGTATTAAGGCTCTTTGATGTGCAACTATAATTTGGAGCCATCAGAAAGAGAGTCTCTGGTCTGATGAGGGAGTGCTGTGCCCCTCTGTCCAGACGACGCTGTTCACTCTGTAATTATGGGAATAGACTGTTTGTATTTATAGGCTAAGCCCACAAGCCCCGCGCTGCAGCTGCAACACATCACAGTGCAAATCAAGTGGCCGTGTTTTAAATGAAAACGGGGATTGTACCCGCGCTGCGTTTGGCCCCGTTAGTGTAATGGATGTGACAGGGAGCAGGTCTGACTGTGGTGGCACTTGTGAGTCAAGTGTACTTCATTCAATGCAGACACTAGGAGACAGAGTCAATTTCATTGGTTTAATATTTACAATAAATACAGTTTTACAGTATAAAATCCATGTACATATTTATATAAATTTAAGTACAAAATAATGCACAGGACGTCAAGCCCTGATAGTGTAGAGAGGGGCTGGTTCACGAGGAAGAGACATATCACCAGAGTAAAAGATTGGCTTAACATTAAGAGTGAGGCAGTTAAATAAAACATTGTCTTCCGCACAAACTCTATGTGCACTTTGGTCCAGTCGGCACTACTCTGCTGAATAGTGGGGTTCTGTGAGTACAGTAGCTCAGGCAGAAAGGCACTTCTGTGTCAAGCACAGGTCCAGTTGTGTCCAAAGAGAGTAGTATCTACAGGGCCAGCCCCTCAGCTTCTCTAAAGCTCTATACCGAAGTAGTACCAGCTACATTATTTGAAAAATAATAAACACAAATACTTTAATTCAATATATAAAAGGCTTTGGTCGCTTCAAGAACAATTTAAATAACAATACATCAGATGAATCACACAATTATGAACCCAGTTTGAGTCCAGTTCACATGTGCCGCTTCATGTGCAGAGCAAGGTGGTCAGATCTTGAGAACGCTCTCTCGCAGAGGTGGCACTGAAAGGGTCTGTGCCCAGTGTGCTTACGGAAATGACGTGTAAGCTCATCAGATCTGGCAAACTTCCATCCACAGCCCTCCCAGCTGCAGTGATAGGGCTTCTCACCTGAGAGAGAGAGAGAGAGACATTTAGAGCATGTTCAAAAGTCACACACAGGTCAGCACAGCAGGACACCACTCTAGGACGTTTAATGGACTATCTGACCACTGTTCTTACCTGTGTGAGTGCGAAGATGAGCTTTTAGATGAGAACTCTTTGTATACGTCTTTCCACAGCCTGCGAACGTGCACGTGTGCGTAGCAGTGCGCTTGCGTGGCCATGTGCGGCGGCCTCTCTTGGGCTTGTTGTCGTGCATGAGCTCCAGGGGGGAGGAGGGCGGGGTGAGCATCAGCCTCTGAGCTCCGGGCTGCAGACCCATCGGGCTGTCGTCATACATGGCGTAAGGAGCGTGAGAAGCGTGAGGGGCATGAGGGGCGTGATACTGCACGTGCATCTGCGGGGGGAACTGCGGCGTGGCGTGGAACTTGTGCTGGAAGTTGAGGTTCTGGCAGAGCGGCGCGCAGTCTGAGGCGCCCTGCTCATCTGGGCTCAGAGGAGGCGTCATGCTGCTGACGGCGCGGGGGGAGATGGCCACACGCGGCTGCTCGAAAGACATCATGCACGAAACGTTCCCTTCTTGTTTGATTTTGTTGCAGCTCTGAGGCACCATCCCCATCACGGGGCCGTAACTGTCCATGGGGGGCTCCACCTTGATGTCCTGGCGCGGGTACGGCGCAGTGTTGATGTAAAAGCGGCCCTGGATGCCGTAGCTGCCGCTGGCGGCTGCTGGAGTGTCAGTGCGCAGCAGCTCTGTCATGAGGCTGGCTCCGTACGGAGGAGGAGGAGAGCGCTGCTCGCTCACTGCGGGGAACAGGCTCTGCTCCACACTGTTGCCCACAAACTCTGGGCTGTTGTCTGACCCCGCGGTGTTCGCCAAAATAAAATCCAGGTCAAGGAAATTGCTCAAGTCTTCCTCGTCCTTGAACATGGAGCAGCTGCCGGACACGGGCTTGTCCATCTCTGTCTTCCACCTCTGGAAAGCAAACATAAAAACTGCGTTAGGATTATAATACAAGACTTAGATTCAAGAAGACACAGCAAAAGTGCATAAGACATGGCCTCAGCCGATCCACAACAACAGGTGAAACACAATCAAACTCCAAAAGTCTCAACAAGTGTTTCCAAAAAAGCATATAGAAAAGTGACACTTACGTTTTCCCAGGGTTTTTCTCTTTGGTTGGAGAAAGTCGAAAATGATGGGAGCATCACTCCTGATAAAGCCATAGTTTTGGTAAATAATAGTAAAACTTCTACAGCTTGTGTCTGTGCTAAGTCGCGCCACAATCAGAGCGGCTGTCTCAGTGCGTCCTCTCCGCTTGAAGACATGAACAAGTTGCTGCTGTAGGACGTCCTCCCAAACTTTATATCTGCGTCTGCCGCACGCTCCTGGCCAATTGTGAGAGTTCAGGAAACCGCGTCGAGTCCGGTAAATTTAGCGCTGTTAAAAGGAGGCTGGAGCGGACGGGCTTTGCTCAGTGGTGCTCTGTGGCCTGGAGAGAGCTGCAGAGGAGACTATAAAGGGGAGCCCCTCCTTTCTCCCACACGTCACACGCACGCTCCTCCTCTCCACCGGAGACAAGCGTGGGCTGCGATTACAAACAGCGCAATATATATACTTAGATACTTACACAATAACAACTAATGAGTGACTTGCCCTGAGGGAACGCCACAACGCACCTACAATCCAAGCACAATGACAACCAACTGAAACAATATTCTATAATCTCTCTAACAACTTCATATGCACAAGTTTGGCGCGCGTAAAGACCTTCGCTGAACCCAGTGCACCCATAATGACATGTTACTCCTTGCGATTAGTTATACATTTATTGTAGACCTAGTAAGTGAGTCAACTTTTGCCTATTGCCCTGATGAAGATCCGAGAGAATAGGACAGAAGAGTTTTGACTTTACAATCAGATTCCCTCGGTTCTTGTCTTCTTCGTCTCTCCACTTTATTTTCTCACGGATCCTGGAGGAGCAGCTGATAATTTCTCACTTTTATCCTACGTTTATTTGATTCCTTGCTCCTCTTGTAATGTTGCCGTGCCAATATAGGCCTATAGCTTGTGCGTGTGTGCTTTTGTGTGTCTTCTTTTTGGCTGTCTGTGCATGCGTGTCTCTCACTTTGGCACAGAGCAAGGCGCGCTCGCTCTGTCACTGCGCTGTCATATGTTTTCGCTCTCGCTTCCAATCTCCATGTGTCTTTTGTCCCATCGCAGCGGGCTTGTCAAAACAGGCGCCAGGGTCGTCTCATCGCCCCCTTTAACGCTGTAAATACCCGTGATGTAAACATGATTTCGACTAAAACGCGGCATTCAGGTGCAAATGGTGATCCCCGGGAGCCATTACCATCACAGGCGCCTGCGGCCGTGGTACTGGTTTCTGGCCAGGGACCTGAGGGGGAGAGGGGGGTGGGGGGTTGTTACGGGGGAAGACAGGGGCCCTTTGCGGCGCTCTGTGGAGGTCATTATGTGGAGACACCTTTCAAACGAAGGCACAGTAGTATCTAATGCAGAGTTGAATAGGTCTGAGTGGTTTAGACAAGTGCGAGCAGGTGAAACTCAGAACATTAGAATATTGGTCAAAAAATCATTTATTTCTATATTTACACTCACACCCTATGTCTATGTCACCCATATATGACATGGACTTAATACAGTATAAGTGACATATGCCTTTGTTTGTTAGAATGTGAAGTCTTGCAGCTTATTGTCAAAATCTTCTATTTAGGATTTTTTATTGGGGGTTTTTACAAGTTGTAATACAATTATAAACTATAATAAAACAAAAATGCTTTATATATGTCACTTTGCGTATAATGAGTGTGTCATATATTTGCTCGATATTGTAAGTTGAGTTACAGAAGTATATAAACTTTTGACCAGGAGATATATTGACCTTTTTTAACCAGGAATGTCCAACTAATGTACCATTAACCACTAATGCACCATCAGAATGTTTTTTTTTTTTCATGGGAGTCCTGGTCCTAGAGATAGGGGACTATTGTACATGTTGTAGTGGTAGGGGAAACCGGAGCACCTGTAGGAAACCTATGCAGACACAGAGAGAACATGCAAAATACATTCTGTTCGGAGGTGGAATTGAACCCATGACCTTCCTGCTGAGATGCGAGAGTGCGACCCACTCAGCCACTGTGCCAAAACAAATCATCGAGGTGGCCTTTTCTTAAGAATAGGAGCAGTATTAAGAATTATTTACTAATTATAAGTTTATGCATACATATTTCTATACATTTTAGGGTTAGCGATAGAGGTTTTTTTTACTGATAGAGTTAGGTTTAAAGTTAGTGTTTCATCCAAATCTACTGAAAAACTTAATTTAAACTGAACTTAAATAAGACTAAAAGCAAGTAAGAATGTAAACTTGAAAGACAGTGGGACAAGTAGGTTTAGTAGGTTTAAAGTTAGTGTTTCATCCAAATCTACTGAAAAACTTAATTTAAACTGAACTTAAATAAGACTAAAAGCAAGTAAGAATGTAAAACTTGAAAGACAGTGGGACAAGCCTTATGACGACATAACGAGAGTGTAGTGCAAGTTCATCAACAAGCGCTCGTCCTGCATTAATAAAAAAAAACAGCAGCTGGTTTATATATTCATTCTTTCATGTTGAGCTATTTTACAGTATATTCAGAAATCCTTCAACATTAAAATAACAGCAAAAGACTTTTAACTTTCCTCTTTTGGCCACGAGTCGAGGGGGGTTTAAGTAATAAGTAGTGTCTTTTCTATAAAACCGAAGCCTCTCCAACAGAACAACTTGAAATGAAAAAACGACCAAGACATTACGCATCCAAAAGCCGGTTTCTCTCCTCTTCAACCACAGCACGAGCTCCAGTTTATTTCTTGTGGCTAATTAAAAGTTCAAATACAGCCTCTATATTTAGCAGCGACTTGGTTCGAGTACCCCCCACAGAGCTTTGCCCTGGTCCCCGCACTCACGGCACACGGATAGTTTTTAATCTGGTTGTTATAACTGCTGTCATTTGGGGGGTCCATGGGCTTAATTACAGAGCCGACACCTCCCGGTCCCCTGTATTATTCCCCGTTGGTTTTCCTCATGCAAAGTCCCCATATCAGAGGGCCTGAGTTTAGCTTGTCATTTGCTCACCGCCGACCCCAGGCACACGAGCCACATTAGGCAAATGAAAAGCACTCTTGACAAGTAATGGAGACCAGATTGACAACAGCAGCAGCAGCAGCAGCAGCGGAAAGGTTTCTTCATTTTTAACAGACAGGGGAAGGACATGGATAGACTTCAAATACAAACCACTTTCTGTATTGTGATGGGGGACCTCTTGTCTTCAAATAGACTTCAAATACAAACCACTTTCTGTATTGTGATGGGGGACCTCTTATAATTTTTTTCTCCCCCCACAATAAGACCGTGACACAAAATATGAATATGTTTTCTTCATCTTGATATATTTTACATTTTATATATTTCAAATTTTGTAATTATATGCTATGATAACACTGTAAATGCAACTGCGTTTGTAAGCAACAACTTAAGTATCTCACTATCTCACCGCCAAATTGGTCAATAACAAAATGGGGAAACGCACAAGATATAAAAGTATATTGCATTTCTTTTCCACATCTCCTCATAATTTGGCTTCATGAGATTTTGTGGCATGAGTCTCCCAATGACTTATGTAGAAAGTAACAAAACCGTGATAAGGCCGATTGTCTATAACAGGCATGTCCAGACTAAAGCCACTTTTGGGCCCTCTGTGTCATTAGATGTGGCCCTCTGCCTCACTAACAAAGATGACTTTTTCTTTCTTTCTTTTTTTTTAAACAATTAATTTTTGGCAAGATTTCTAGCCAAATTGTAAAAGTATCCATCTTTAAGCTGCAGTATACCTAACTTCCTTTTTTTATCCCCATACAAACAGCCTGTGGAGCAATAACCCGATGATCACATCAAACCACAAGAGGCTTCTTATTGGAATACATGTTATTTTTAGTAAACGTGTAAGAAGTATTCTGGTCACTCCTTGATGACTTTTTGGGCCGTGAGCTGATTGGCTGCTGTATTTGCCGTCTGAAAAATATGATGTAAAGATGTGACAGAGGCCAAAAGTCTGAATGAATGTAACTCTTATAGATACAGTAATGTTGTTCCAATGTTTGATTTCATATCTGATTTTGTCTTTTAGAAAATCGTTTTTGCTTCTTATGCTGTTTTTTATCTCACCTTCCCCTTCTCTTCGATTGCGGGCGCGCAAACATTCTGTGGAAAGTGTGTCATGCAGCCTGTGTGTGAAAAGAGGGAGGTTTTCAGACCCTGGTTTGGCAGCTGACCCGGTGACCAGCGCTGTGATCCTGGGGTGAGCTCTTCCAGCGAATACTGCTGCCTCTAACTTTCAAAACAACAAGAAATAGAAGTGTGTAATAAAATCCAAAATCCATCTGAGTAGTTCTAACCTCGTCCTCAGCGTCATAAAGTCTTATAGCACAAAAGACACAATCAAGTCTCGGTCATATGAAAGCCAAGACAGGAGATTGTCAATGTAAAATGCATTATGTGTAGCACAGCGAAACAGAACCGTTAAAACCTGTATTTGAACATTTGAGTAGAAGCCTGTCTCACGTTTTCAGAAAGACTGTTGAAGATTTTAGTAAGATCATGGACAGATCTATCAGGCATGTCCAAACCAAGGCTCACAGGCCAAATGTGGCCCTCTGTGTCAATATTTGTGGTCCTCTGCCGCTCACACAAAGTACAACGAGGCAATTTCACAGAATCATCGATCCAACTTCAGCTCTACCAGTATAGTCATGCTATACCTGGTTGTAAATCTCTGGAATACAGTTGTTTGTCTGTAGTTAAAGACAATTGTTGTTTGGCGGCACGGTGGCTGAGTGGATAGCACTCTCGCTTCTCAGCAAGAAGGTCCTGGGTTCGAATCCTGCTCGGAACAGGGCCTTTCTGAGTGGAGTTTGCATGTTCTCCCCGTGTCTGCTCTGGTTTCCTCCGGGTGCTCCGGTTTCCCCTACCGCTAAAAACATGTACAATAGTTATGAATGTAAAGGAGAGAGTGAATAAATGGTGTTGATTGGGAGCTGATGCGCCAGTGTGTTCGGCGATTCGCTTCTGATATCACCGTATGTGGAATGATTGGAACAATATCTGAACTCTGAGCAATTGTAAAGCGCTTTGGGTGACCTTGGTCTGAAA